TCTCACTCGATTTTTTTTGCCGACAGCTAATTTTACTAAACTTATGTCATAATAACACAAAATACGATAAAATCGCATCTCTACGAGTAAGTACAACTTTATGAGAAAATGAAAACACTAACGTCAAGAGAAATGAAAGGCACACACACACAAATATAAATGCAGTAGTCCCATCATACTCGACTATACATGATAAATAAGCTCATTCTATATTATTGTTTGTTCAATAACATATTGCTCTATTAAAAGTATTCTCGTTTCTTTTTTTGTGTTAAATTTGAGTTTATTATAGAAAATTAGTTATATTGTATTTAATTGATAAATATAAAAAAACGAAAGTGTACGCATCATCAAAAATCTGTTTGTGATGTCGTTAATATTATTCGACGAGTGGGTAATTAGTAGTGCTATTATGCGACTAGTCAATCAGTTTTCTTCATTCTCGAAGACACAAGTATGTCTTTCACTATACACTCCGTTAGTTTTTTTTTCATTTTCTTCTTGTCTGCGTATCTATTAAAAAAAAAAGCTCTTGTCACACATAGAATCATACATCACTTGCGGCTAGGAATGGGCGATTCCGACGCCGAAAGAGCTAAAGATTACTGACTTCAACACGATTCTAAAGAGGATAAAACTAGTTTATTAGTTGCTCAAAGATTTACTTAAGTAATTTTATTAATAAAAGTGTTTTGCACTCTAAAAGATCTCTTACAATGATGTTATATTCGTAATAGATTTTAAGATTAAATGACTTTTTTTTTTGAAAAACATTAGGTTATTTTATTCATCAGTATTTAAATGTTTATGTAACGTTTCTGTAATAGTATTATCGCTAGAAAAGAATAAACGTTCAATGAAAGTATTTGCTGCTGAAATAATTAAAACTTGTTTTTCCTATTAAATATAATATTGGAGAGTTTTATTGATGTTGTAGCCTATATTGACATACATCATTATTTTTTCTTTATTTTCGTTTCATTCTTTGTATTCTATTGTTTTACTCGTGACTGATTAAGATCACAACAAGAAATCTCTAATATCAATATTATCTTGTTGTGTTTTCCTGTCATGATATACTTGTCAAGCAAGATAAACTATTTTATGTGAATGAAGATGTTGATTCTACTTGCAATGGACATGGTTGTACTGTAAGTTAAAAAGACTAGACATATTCGCGTCAAAATAAAACTCCCACGACCAAATTAACAAGTTTAAAATATTAGCTGCTGTTGACATGCACCGCCCGAGATATTCAAATTTTAAGATAATTATAGTCTATGTATGACGACCATCATTAAAAATTTCAGCAGAATTTCTCTTCTTTTTTCTTGATCGTTGAATAGAGCTGATCAAGTTACATCAGAATATATATGTTTCATATTTTAAAAAGAGATTTTAAAAAATCTCATTGGATAAAAGTCTAAGTTATCATTATTTCCAAATAGAGTCAAAATTCTGACCTTCGTCAACTTATTTTTAAATCTCTTTTTAGAATATGGAACATATTTTCTAATGCAACTCGATGAGCTCTATCCAACGATCAAGAAAAAAGAAGGGAATATTCTAGTGAAATTTTTACTTGTGGCCATCATACACGCACTGTAATTACCTTAAAATTTGAATAACTCGGTTGGCACACGTCAACAGCAGCTAATATTTTAAACTTGTTAGTTGGCGATAAGAACTTTGTTTTGACCTGAATATGTCTAATCTTTTTAACTGACAATAAAAAAACACCTCCATTTTTAGAAATATATAATGAACGTAAGACGATTACAAGGGTAAAATCTTTAAGATTTCTACACTCATGTTGTCCTTTGAACACATCGTTTAATAATCTACAATATTTGTTTTTGATACTTCCATATGTATGTCAATATTTGAAACTTGTATGTAAAACAACAACAATATAATCTGTATTTTCAAACTTCTAGTATGAAGTTATTTCGAGAAAAATGCACTTTATTAAAGTAATAGTGGCATGTAAAACAAATGCATAGAGTTTTAATAGACTTAATAATCATTGTCCTCAAGGCAAAACTAAATTAATAGTTTGATATTTATTACTTGATAATATTTTAGATACGTTAATGACATATTCAAAACATCTAATTAATTCCTCAAACATATCATAGTCGATAACAGTTAAGTTTTGTTTTTGATTCTATTCTTTAATAATACGAGATAATTCTGTAGAAACACTAATCAAAACTGTGAATCATTTCATAAGCTTAAGTTATACGAAGAAGGACAATAGTCTAATACACTAGTTGATACATAATAAATAAAATAAGAAGTCTCATGATGATTGAATAAGACGACAAAACTCTGGAGCATATTAAATACTATAATATTTACCGAATTTCACCGATGCGTCTTTGAAGAGGATATTTGTAAATGCGCTTCGATTATTTTGATTGATTCACAATTAATTCCTGACAAAGTTAATGGATGTCCAATAGATTTTTTTTTTGAAAAATGGTCCAAACATCCCATAACAACAGCATCATGATGGAATGCAGCATGACATTTATTTTCATTATCATATACTATTTAAAAAATCGTTTATTCGAATAGCAAATTAAATTATCGTAATATATTTTCTATCGAACGATAAACATTATCAACTGGTTGATTTAGTAATTTATATGTTTCACAACTTCATACCAAACTTATCATCAAAATGATGAATTGGTAAACTACTGTAACTATTTTTAGATCAATAATCAATTCTAATACAGTATTGTTTTTATCGATGAAATCAAACTAATCGACCATGAGATTTGGATAGACTGAGATCTACCGTAGATTAAGATAGACTCAAGCATTTATTTTTGTTCCATCCAATTGATAAGTTTATGCAGTGCATCGAAATTCTTATGCAAATACTAAATTCTTTTCTCATTGCTTTTGGCCACAAATAGTAACATTTATCTATTGAAGCGGACTTAGTACAAGTGTTTGAGGAAACATTGAATTTTGTGTGATTGAATGTCGAGCCTTGCACTGTTAATGACTTGAGCTAATACTCATTTGTTACAAGTGAGAAACTCGAGTTAGATAAACAAAAAGCTATCGAAAGTTCTCTTCGCCTTGTTTAGATGCTTAAGAAACATTTTCACTAAAATGAGCAAACCTATAATGTAATTCCTTTTTTTTCTGCGAGTACTACTGCTTCATCATTGTTCTGTTTTTCATTAAAGTAGATCGATAACTCTTCTTTTGATAGTCGAAATTAAATAACAACAAATGTTAATATGTTTCTTGAAATGCACGTATTTTGACGTGAATTGCGAATTTTGTCTCAACCGTGCGAAATTTATATAGTGAAAGCTGTGAATCGGAAATAATAAGTACTAATCGTTTGTCACCTGAATGACATAAACAAATTCGCCCTACTTCTCCCTATCCTTAACTTCCCATTGGGGAGACCTTACACACATTATTGAGTCTACCCTGGATTCAGAACATGTCACCGACTATGATAATATATTATCCAGATGTCTTCATAAATTTAAATAATAATTGACTTGTAACAAGAGTTGTTAGTCCTCTTTGTTTCTTTCATGTGCATTTTACAATTACGAAAAAATACCGATAGACGTATCAAACGATACGTATAAAGTCACCATTTTAACAAAATCGTATAAATCATTCATCAGTAAAAAATAAAGGATAAATACTATGTAGATAAGTCGTTAAAATACACTCTTTCTACTGTCCATTATATTATATTATTTATTTTTATTAAATAACTTTAATTTATTCTTATGTATAAATATTTTTGCTAAATATTCTGCGAAAACAATGAATATGAGGACTACATTAAGTACTCACGTCATTGCCTATAAATAAATTTGTAGAAAAAAAACTCATATGAGTACTCGTCAAACTACTCGAGTGAGATTTATAAACATCAAATTGCTCTAGTACTCATACAAGTAACTTGAGTACTCATGCTGACAAATCGTACTCGCTTGATCAGAACTTTTTACTAAAATAAACAACTTCTCGGTTTCATCATTAATCTGAAATACTACAGAAAATAGTGCATGGTCATGAAAAAGAATATTAGAAAAACAACTTACTAGTGTTCGATCGATTAAGATTGACTCAATTGGATTAGAGCACTCAATACACGACCTACATTATAAAGTTCATTGTCTAAACACTTAAAATTATCATTTAATAAGATTGTCAATAGTATAAAACTTAGTAGCTACTGTTATTAACTTCTTTTTTTTTCTATATAATGCGAATCAAATGTTTATTATTTTCAATATCATTTGAAATAGACATAGTTATTAATTGTTGATTACTAAGATCTTTATCATAATAATTTCATGAATGTTCTTTTTACATTATTTATCTCATTTGTAGTTTTCTATATAAGTAAATTTTCACAATTTGAATGACATACAGTGAGGTCAAAAAAACCAGACTTACTTATCTCGATTTATAATATTATTTTCTACAACTTAAGCACTCAATGTTTAATTCAATTCTTTTCGCAATAGATAGAACTAGCAAAAAAGTCACAAAGTACGGATAATTTTATTCTCAAAAACACTTTGTTATAATTGTAGACAAGAAAGAAATTCATTAAAATATAAAATCACCTTTGTTATTTTTTTTTTTGATCTTTTTCTAAAAAATCATTAATTCAATAAGAAAATAGTATTAGGATCGGAAATTTCTCAGCATTCGCAATTAAAATCGAGATAATTTTTTTTTTCTTTGAATTATTGGTAATTTTCTTATACTATTAAAATTTCCATATGACAGGAGTCTTTCATATTTTGTTTTTGCATAAAGTGATGTCCTGCACTATTTTATTTTATTACTTAAATTAATCTCAATTATAATCAATTCTATGCTGTATAGAAAACTTTTTCAATTACTACAACGATGTATAAATTTTTTGATAAATTGGAATTTCATATTGAGAAATAAATGTCAGTACGAGCAATAGCATGAGGCAAAACTCAACATCAAGTATGAATAATTCTCTTAAAAAGTAAATCTTTTTTGAACTGAATTCTTTGTATGTAATGAGTATACAACTAACAGGTGTATAACTATATCAAATTTCAAGCCAAATGTAAATGTTAGTTGTAGATCATTTTTACTTTCCGATAAAGAGTATACTGCTCTTGCATAAATTTCATATTTAGTGAATTTCATTTTCGTCTACAGTTATAGTCAAACATTTCCAAAATAAAATTCTATTTTCTTAGTGGCTTTTTTTTCTAGTTCTATCTATTGCGAAAAGAATTGAATTAAAAATTGAATATTAAAGATGTAGAAGCTATACTGCAAAAAAAAGGGTAAGTTCTTTTTTTTTCTGACCACTCTATATATAATTTTTGGCAATATGATTAACAAATGCTTGAGAATCGCTACAAGCAATATTTATTAGATACGTTTTTAGTATGGAGATAGTCTACGATTTTATATTAGCTATTCAATATCAGATTTCGATAAATTTGTAATATGTTACTTAATTGAAAAATATTATAAATACGTATTTGTTTCTTCATTAAAATAAAGTATCTATTCTACTAGGAGAATAATGGATATTTATATGTCTAAAATCAGATAATGAATCAAATTAATAAAAAACAATAAAGATGACAAAATGCATTTGTCATGCATCTAGATGTTATTGTTATATGACAAATGGTTTGATTATTTAGATGTTACCATCTTGTATATTTAATTCATCTTATTTGTCCTAGATATTCTATAAATTCTTTATTTTTCTTTTCTTTTCATTCCTTTGTGTTCGAATTATTACAAGGTATGACTAGAAAAAAAAGAAGAATGAATACCTGCTTTCCCGTCGTTAAGTGGTAATAAATGCACTTTAAGCACAACAGAAATCATAAAATACAAGAAAAAAAAAATCTAAAAAGAGTGTCGACAAGTAATACTCACAAAATACCTGAAGTAAAAGAAAGAAAAACAGATAGATGTTACTATAAATCTAAAAATTGAACGATTCCAATTCCAAAAAAAACAGAGAATCGATTTCGCTGCTGTCTACTTACAAGAAATGCATTTCTTCTACTTCCTCCCTATTTTATTTTTTAGTTTTCTATAGCAACTCATATAAAAAAGATGTGTTTAAAAATATTTTCCAAAACTTGATCATTCATTCGATAATCTAAGATTACTGACTATACAGATTTACTAATTCATACTATGTACTTAGTAAATAAATAGAAAAGCAATACTATGAAATGTGCAGAACAGAATGGAGAATCAACAATTTTCTTGTTTAATAGTTAATTTCTAAGCAAATATATGTAAATCTGAGATTCGGAATTAATAGAGAAAAATAACGAAGACTATAGAAAAAAACAAAACAAAGAGAGAGAGAAGAAAACATTTGCGCTTTCTATAGAAAAAATAATAGTAAATGATGACAAGACGTGTAAAAATATTAATACAGAGAATATATTAGTGTAAAAGTAGCGAATACAATAATTGAGAACGAAATGTGTCATTAAAAAGTAATGTCTAATCTTTGTAAAAGGAAATATACATGAAGCTATATTTTCTTCTTCTTTTTTTTTTTTAATTAAATAAATCATCTTTTAAGTCGGCAAGAGTATATACTTGTATATAGCTAAAAGCACAAATAAAAAATTTATTATAACCAAATAAGTACTCATGAGACTTGCAATATACGTTTTTCTTTCTCATTTTTATTTAAACATTATATAGAAGAATAAACAACATATCACTGACTTTTCTCACTCGTCAACGACTTAACGCAGCCTGAGACGACTAAATCAACAGTATATAAATATATACATAACGATGATGTTTTTTGACAAGAACAATGAAAGAAGAGAGTAAGGTTAGAAAGACAAAAGTAAATTTTTTTTTTCTTTTTTTGACTAATTTCTTTTTTTGTTTCCATTTTACTGCTACATTAATCTGATAATATTGGACGTCGATCTTTTTATAACAAAGAAAAAAAAAAAAACAATTTCCTACACTTTATATGCTTATAGTAATTTGTTGTGCATACTGTTATACCATCGAATTATTTTATAGATTACGTAGGCATCCTATCTGACATTGTCATTCATCACTCGACAATTTGTTACAACAAGTATCAACTATTTATTATATACTAGGACAGTTCTATAAAATAAGAAAATCTTCATATAGTACTGCAACAACATTTGCGAATAACATCAAGGTGTACATGTTTGTATGAGATAGAACAGGAAAGACAAAACATGAATGCATATGACACAAAGGGCAGGCCAAGAAATGATTTATGATTTGAACCATGTTTTCCTTCACATCAACCATATAATAACAGAATGTAATTGATGACGTTCTCTCAGTTATTCTATCTCTCTTTCTCTTTCTCTTTCTCTTTCTGTCTTCTTGTTGAAGGCATCGGCTTAAGGGTCGAATGTTGCCGAACATTATCGTGAACATTTTCTTTTGTCAATCTTTACCATTTTCAATGTTTTTGTTCGCTTTCTAATAGGAATTCATGTGTATTCGATGCTACTTATTTGCTTCCGCTCGTGAATAATATTAGTAATCCCTAGTTTTCTTTTTCTATAATACTTGATCAAGCTTTGATTGTTTGTCGATTTGACAAACAATTGGCAAACTAATATGAATAAAAAAAGAAAAGAAAAAGGAGATTTAAGACATTCATAACATAGATACTTGAAACCATTATTTTCATAGACAACTGAAATTTTCTTTTTCTCTATTATATTAATTGAATTTATTTTTTTTTTTTTATTTTAATAAATTTCATTTATTATTTTAGACGATGGTTTGACACTGGTAACAATAATAATACAATCAGTCTTCTTTTTCCACTTGATTTTGATACAATGGTAATTTCATCGAATCAAACATCATCAATAATTGAAACAAATACTGTAAGTCCAATACCAAATGATTTACATTGGTATCCATTTTATCCTGGTATATGTCCACCATCATATAATGTTATTTTACAAGGTGTTTGTGCACCATTAATTATTATTATATCAACAGTATTAAATTCGTTAATAGCTGTTGTATTACTTCAAAAACAACTTCGATCACCCACAAATATTCTACTTCTTGCTATTGCACTTTATGACACACTTACAGGATTATTTCCTTTTCCAACATATATTTATGTGTTTACATTTAAAAAATGTGATGATTACATGCCTTATAATTATGGGTGGTTTCATCGAATTAATTATCAGGTGCTTCCATTTATATTTCATACATGTTCTATTTGGGTAGGTTAAATGTATTCGTGCGTAATATTATTTTAATAACTAGTGATTAACAATTAGATAAGAAAAATAATGAACTTCCGAAGTGGCAAAATCAGAAAACTAATCTCATAGATTTATATTCTTAATATAAAATCCTTTTTGTTTTTGTTTGACTTAATCTTCATTATTTATTTAAAATAATTAAATCCTATCGGAAAAAGAAACTATTTCAAACAATAATATTATTATCTCATGTTCTATTTTCTTTCTCTCTTGTTAGGTAACTGTTGTCTTAGCTATTCAACGATATATATATGTATGTCATTCAGAAAAAGCTAAACAATGGTGTACAGTACGAATGGCTCTTAAAGCTGTAGCATGTGTTAATGTTTTAGCACTTATTGTTGCAATACCAATGTTTGTTGAAGGTACATTTCATCCGATAACAGTTCGTTCATTAAAAGATTCAAAAAAAATTCTTAATGCATGTCTTGTGCGTGATTACTCAGAAGATCCAAGATATAGCACATTATATTCTGTTTATTCAGTATTACGTGCTTTATTAATTAATGTTGGTCCATGTACGGTACTTGTTATATTAAATGCTATACTTGTCGACCGTATGAAAGAAGCTAAACAAAATCGGGATAGACTTATGAGAAAACGTAGTCAGGAATCTCGTGCTCAAGAACAAACCAGTGTGACATTAATGCTTGTATGTGTAAAAAAAAATATATTTTTGTTTTGTTCATTTATTTTTATATTATATTTATATAGGTTATTGTAGTAACTATTTTTCTAATTGTTGAAGTTCCCATGGCACTTCATTTGATTATATCTGGTTTATTAAAATTGTTAGAATCAGACTTTTTATCAGGATTTTTAAATTTTTCTGTTCAATTACTTAATTTTGCTGTTTTATTATCATATCCAATTAATTTTTTTATTTATTGTCGTATGTCAAGAGCATTTCGTGATGCTTTTACAGAACTATTATGTCCATCAAAACATCGATCTGGACAAAGTGGATTACCACCATCAACAACAACACGATTAATTATTAAATCATATAATAACAATGACAATTATGATCATCTTGAACTTAATGATACAAATATTGAAATGAAAAATTCTCATATTAAAATTGAACATCCATCAACTGTGATATTCAATCAAACAACAGCTGAACCATTCATCCCATTAACACCATCGATGACTTCTCTTCATGTAACTCATAATGGAAAAAAGCCTTCAACCGATTCACTAAGCAAACATCATGTACTTTTTCGCGATGATGTTCCGTCATCAGCAAATATGAAATTTACTGATTTGTAGACAAATATGTTATTTTCATTTTATGATATTAAAATTAAACAAATGAATAATATACTTCATTTTTTATTCAATAGAGATTTATTTTAATTTCAAAATAACACAGGGAAAAAAAGTACATTTGAATATGTATCCATTTTCTGAAAATCAAATGAGCTGATTTTTTTGTTTTGTTAACGATACAAAGAGTGTTGAAATTTTTTATTCAAAAAAAAATTCATCTATAATGAATTATATTAGAAAAATTAGTCTACTCATTAATATAAACATTATGAATTTGTTCGAAATTCACTATATAAAAAAAAACCTACAAACATTTCTTAAATTCAATCATCTTAATTTGAAGTAATAATTCTTGATGTTTTCTTTTTTATAAATACAAATTTTAAACACTTGTCTATTGTTAATAAAAAAAAATCCTTCCATTTGATTTACACAGAATAGAGATAATTAAATTCTTATTATATTGTTGTTTTTAATGCATCCTATGTTTTTGAGTCATTAATGACTTCATTAGAGACAACACGTGTATGTCGTACAATCATCAAAGCTTATTGTTGTAGAAAGTAAATTTGACAGGATATATGTGATTTAAAGAAGTCTTTATATCAAGATATGTATATTAATTAGACGCTATGTGGAATAAAACGAATACTAAAAAAATCGCCTACTAAAACATAATTTTCAATATTTCCATCGTGTTTTAATCAATTTAGTTAATTGTTTTTTTTTCTGATGATTGAGAAAAGATTCAAATTTTATTTTTATCAGGAGAAAATGTTAAGTAATGTTCAAAGCTATTGATCTTGAATGAAATACAAAAACTAAATTTTTTTTTTGTGGATCTATAGAAGTTGTTATGAGGAATACTCTCAAATAATTAAACACTTTTGAATCCATATTTTGTATAGTATTAAAGGATTACTAGACTAGAACATCTTTTGAAGGATTTGTATCCTTATTGTATATTATTCGAGCTATTGAATTCCTACTAAATTTATTATCGTAGGATTTAATGAGCAAAAAGAAAAGTGCAAAAACAATTTGAAAAAATCTATTGTGAGTTGGAAATTCGTAGAAGTTCAACTCACCTGCTCATTTCATCTGACCCTTCATATTGTCAATAAGATTGTTTGTTATCGAATTCTGATCTGGAACTTAGCTTGTGCGAAGTTCTCACTTAGATTAGCAACTGTAGAAAATTTCAGAATGTCAGGTTGTAGCCTCTTTCTAAATATAAAGTTATCAAAATCTCATACTTTCTTATCAGTTCTCATAGGAATAACAACTTGAATCTTTCTTCTATCACTTGAAGAAAGAGAAGAATTAACTTATTTGATTAAAGCACAATGGAGATCATTATTAATAGAATTAAGAATTAGTCAAAGTTCACCATTATGAAATCACTTGTGCAAGTTGATTGAAATCGTTTATTTACAATGTTAACAAGTTTTTTTTTGAATAATAAAGATTTTATATGTTCCGTTGAATAAATCTGTTTTGAGGATAATATGTTAAGTATCATGAGAAAACAGAAAATCTTATTCAGAACAAACATTATGATGATCCAATGAGATACAAGGTTGAGAAAAGAAAAAAAAAAGCACTCAAGTAAACAAAAGCATGCACGTTTATAAGACCCAATATTGCTGAAGAAAGCAGCTGTCACACAAAATTCGAAAAGAAAAGATGTAAAAACAATGTCTAAAATAAGGGCAAACCGATTTTGTCGATTAGCAAAATATATAAGTAGGTCTTTGTTATTTTTAGCACACAAAAAAAAACAATATTGCAGTAAAAGAGTTTAAAAGATTATTGAGTAAACTCTTTAGAAAACAAGTATCATTATGGCATATATGGAAACCACTTTATTCACTTTCTCGTTTAAAACGTTATTACTTAATCTCGAATTCCAATTAATACCAAGATCAGTAATGTCTGGAACACAATGAATAGTTGCATGCATTTTTCTTTCTAAAGTTTCCGAATATTTTCACATTGAATTTATTCATCGTCTTCTGTGAATTCTTTCATAGCATGATCATCAACGAATGAATGCTAACTTTCATTCATAATTCTATATTCTATATAAAAAGATTGACAACTATGTATCAATTCACAAAATAGAATTTGAACGACTTCTTGATCTATAAAAACAAAAAAAAACTTCATCTTGCATTACAGACAATCACAAGGCAATAATAATGCAAATTAATTCGTAGATTAGATCGAATACTCTTCTCATAAACTTTTTAATATAAATAGAGGAATCAGTCAAAAGTGTCTAGACAAAATAGAGAATTTAAAGTTCTATAAAACTGTTTACTTATTTTTTCCGATAAGTTTCTCTTGTTGATGCTAAGTTGAAATTATTTACATATACTCCATCATGCAACTGCAACTTCCTATTTTCTTAATTAATGGAAGCATTTGCTCATCAAGGCGAATGCTGACAGTAAATGATTTCATATCAATAAAAAGAAAATTTCATGCTATATACTTCCACGGTCGTTTCAAGGTTTCTGGTGACGTAAATCAGAAGAAAAGGCATAGAACTGATATTCATCAATAGTTTTGATACAGTGTGGAAAACCATGTTTTGAAAAGACAAAAATCACTCTACAAAAGGTTTATTATTGAGCTACCGAATGTAGAATTCAATTCTGAATAAAATAATGTAACTTCTAAATTGAATAGTGACAATGCTACCGAAGGAACTACTCCAATCGATAGCCACTGTTTGAACTGACATTGGACTCACAGACGGATCTCACTGAGAATAACAAACATGTGAAAGGGTTCGTTTCTATGGGCTTTTATCTCAGAGTTATGACCACTTTAGCGGATAGATTTCAAAAATTCAAATGGCAGAATTTCGATCTAAAACTTTGCTGCTAGATAGATATAATGACTCTTTGAATATCCTGAAATTTTCAGTCAAAGAGAATGTTCCTTCATCAAATTATTGGTGACATATCTATGACAAAAGGCTATTTCTGAAAATTCAATATCTTGAAGAAGAAATATTTGTTTCGGTTGAAATTTTCAGGATATTCAAAAAGTCATTATACCTATCTATGGACAAAATTTTGGGTCGAAATTCTGTCATCTGACTTTTTGGGATCTATTCACTAAACTGATCATAACTCTGAGATAAAAGTCTGTGGGAACGAATCCTTGAAGGCTTTGTCTAGTCTTACTGAGACCTGCCTGTGAGTCCAATACGGACTCAAACGGTGGATTTCAGTTGGAATAGTTTCCTCCTAAGATTATTTTGAATTAAAAAAGAAAAATTGTACAAGTCTATCATAAAAGGTTTCATTCGATGTTTTCAATTCTTTTTAATTTCAAAGCTGCTTATCCCAAAATATTTCATCTAAAATTCTAAAAGATATATTCAAAGATGCAGAATTAAATGAAGAATTTTGTGGTATTCTTGAAATTCCAGTGGAAAATTCTATACAAAAAAAATTCTGGTATATTTTTGATTATTTTGAACGTCGCAGTTGAGCAATTGTATAGATATTCATCTTTTAAAATTGGCACTAACAAAGAAAATTTATTTGAAAAGTCAAGTGAAAAGTTTTGTAGAGTTTTAAATTCTCTATCTTTTGGCACATAAACAAAATATTTTTACGAATTTAATGTGGTGCGAAGTAGAATATTTCTATAGTCAGTCGCGTATGCATTTGACATCCATATTTTGCCCGTTTTTCACTGTAAACAAAATCTGTACTTTGTTCCGTACAGATCTAGAGAACGACAAGTCGCTAGAAACTCGTTTGAACTTTGTTAGAGAGATCGATCTTTCGAGATGATACAAACGTTTTTGAATCTGTGATATGAGTTTTTGTTCATCTTCAGTAAGCTTCTCAAAATGACGATTTGGTCTCAATGTTTTAACTGAAGTAATTAAAAGTGTTGAACTTATCTTAAGTCAGCTGCTTTGAGCAGGAGCGATAATAAAAATTTTCGATAAGCTAAGACCAACTCGAGATGATATCGTTTATCGTTCTTATATTAATTGAAATGCCATTGCCGAAATTTGAGATCACTTCGCATTGTATTTATGTTGTCCTTTATCCAAAGTTAATTACTTTCGGCCGCGATGATCTCGAAAACGAAAAGTCATAAAATACTGGTTCATATGTAAAGATATAAAAAGCAATTTTTTTGCAGATTTAGCTTTCTTTTTCAAGTCTCGACATAATTACAACGATGACAAGTTGACTTTATTCATCCAAACTACATGGACAGCTGATAATAGATAACAGAAAATATAGATAATTAAGCAATAAATCTACAGTGTTTCTTAGAAACATGTTGATACATGTCGACAGAATTCTCATAGTAATAAATTTTCCATGTTTGCTTTACTATCCCTTTTATACTTCGATCATAAGGTACTTCGAATTTTTTATAAGGACGAGACGAAAGAAACTTGTTACTCTGAGCTATAAATATCTCGAGATGTAAACCGTTGTATAATTAACCGTAGAAACGATTATCCGTTTTTTTTTTAATGAGATATCGATTTTTTCAATTATCGACATTCGTAGTTTTGCATCGCATTTCTCAATCGTGATAAAATCACAAAAAACAAAAAATCAAATTAAATAATTTTCATTAACTCGAGATAGTGTATTTGTTTACATATTTAATAAGAACAAAAATTTTCAACGTGAAAATAAATTTGTTTGTCTCATCATTCGAATAAATTCATGACGATCTATACGTCCATCACCACTACGATCAGCTGCTTGAAACATTAATTGTAAATCAAGTTCACTTAATTTTAAACCTGTTTGTTCATTTATTCGACGAAGAATATTCATATCAATATATTCACAACCTTCTTTAAAAACAAAAGAAAAGAAAATAAGAAAAAAAAACCATAAGTGAAAAATTTAAATCTCATACCAATATCAAATAATTGAAAAGCTAAATTTAATTCATCATAATCATCTTGTTCTTCACTTTGAAAATTCGCAAGTAAAAGAAGAAATTCACCAAAATCAAGTGTTCTATAAATAATCAAAATTCTTCATTTTTATATTTTTCTTTAAAACGAAAATATTTATTTCTTACAAATTATCTCGACTTTCTTTTTCTATATAAGCAACACATTTTTCAACTGTTATATTAACACCTAATGTTCTCATTGCATAGACAATTTCTTTTGGTTTAAGATTTCTAATACAAAGACAGATATTTATTTATATAAAAATAGTTAATATCAAACCCTCGACGTTTATGATCAAAAAAATCGAATACTTCTTTGAGATCACGAATTTCTTGTGCAGTAAAATGCATATAAACACCACGTGAAAGACGAATACCAGCTATATCTCGTTCATCTAATGGATGATTTTCCAATGATGCTAATAACTATTGTCAAATGAAATTATTTTATGTAAAGAACTTTCTTTCTTTCTTTCTTTTTGATTATAGTTTACTTGAGCTCCGATTGCTGGATGTGGTGGTACCCAATCGATACGTGTACCAGATGATGTACGTCTATTCTTTGTATCAGCTGATGGAGTTTTTAATTTTGATCGTCTCATTTCGTTTTTTTTTTATCTGAAAAATTTATTATTATTTAGATGTAGAAAAGATAATTTTTCATGCGAAAATCGTATTCTTTTATTAGTTTAAATGAATCGATCATAAATTTCAAAAAAAAAACTTTTTATAATTAAATTGCTAAATTTTTTCTATTAACTTGATATTTGTAAAAATAGAAACATAAAATCATTGAATTAGTGAAAATGATTCTATATTAATCCATTCAATGTATATAAAAAGCATCGAAGAATATTATCTTTTGAGAGATGTAGAAATATCTTAACGATCGGAAAATTCTTATTGTTTTTACTAAAATGTTAATCGAAATTATTTACTTCGTTTTTCATAAATACATTGTTTGTACAATGCGAATATGACTTTCTCTTCTTCTCTCTGATTGACCTGAATGAAAAGTATTTTATGATTTATTATGAAAAAAATGGCTATCTATCAACATTAATTTCTAATCATATATTGTTTACTTCTACATAGAGTTTCACATCTCTCTTTGTACATATACATATTTACTAAACTTATCCAATAAACAATACCACCAGCAGGAAAACCAAATAATATATAATAAATTATACTCATCCATTCGATGACAAACATCGATGGCATACCATTTTTTTTTCTTACATGATCATTTTTTAATTGGTCCATTTTTCAATTCCTAAAATAAAAATTATATAAAACTAAACAGCGAAAAACAAAGATACATCAACAAAACTAGAATATTTTAGAGGTTTTTTTCTAAACAATAAAAATTCTCTTTTATTCATCTTCTCAACCTGAATGAATTGAAAGCATGTGCGATTTTTTGATAAAAAATTCTTTTAACAAGTGTGATCGATTATTATTTATTTTTTTGGTCGGTAACTTAGGTGATTCGATCAACCAATAGGAAGACATATAGAACTAGAATGAAAAAAAAGTAATTGCTATTCAATTAGAAAAAATAATAAAATATGTTTCTAAAGATAATCTACACAAAAATTACCAATCTAATTTCAACGAGATATTTAACTTACATCTGACTAGTCATAGTGTACTAAAAGCAGCCATATTGTAATTTCCGTTTAAACCAATATTCTGAACCTCAAAGGAGTAGATTCTATAATTTACAATTGTAATCAAAAGTCTATTTTAGTTAAATTCGACTTGAATCTCATTGATTGTACTTGAAACTCGAAGAAACTTAGAAATAAATTTAGTCAGTGCCAACTTGATTTTAATGCACAAGTTATGAATTAAAATATATCTATCGTTCTTATGCATTTATATTTCATTTTTTTTAAAGATTATACTTGCTCAAGAACCATTAATGCAAAAAATGTGTTGTTTCTTATTGTCTCAACAGAGGTACTCGGAATTGAAAAATATTCTCTAAACAATGATTCACAAGAGGTGCATTATATCTACGAAGAATACATGTACTTTGAAATTATTTTACTCATTTACTCGAGATGTTTTCGAAAGAAATACTTAAAAGCGAGATAATCATTTCTTCTAGAGCATTTAACTATCTATCATCATTTGAAATCAATAGAGATTACAATTCCAAAATCTTATTATTGGTTTTTCTCGAAAATATGTAAGATTTATTAAGTTGATGTTGATCAATACAAAAACATCCTTTGCAATTCAACGAAATAGAATTCGTTAAAAGTTATATTAGATTTTAATTCATATTTTAGTCTCACAGTAATTCCTGTTGTTAAACTTTGATTAATCAAATTTTCTTTTTCCTTAGAAAAACGCTAATTAATCTTTTTACACATAATGAATTGTATATTTTTTTTTGCTTCTGTTACTATCACTAAAATTTTAATAATAGATTTTAGACAATTTCAAACATGCAATTAAGATCATTTTTCTGAATAAAATAGAAAAAAATATTTGTGAATAAATAGATGAAAAAAACTGATAAGATCATGTTGTGAAGAAAATTGATCAAAGTTTTTTTTTTAAAATTTACAACAAAGATTCTTTTTCTTCTTTATTTAAACAAAGCAATTGAAATGATAGAAGCTAAGTATGAACGATGGTAAAAATATATCACTTGAATTTGTTATAAAGAAGAAATAGAAAACTTCAACTCTTCTCGAATTACTTAATTGATTGACATTAAGTGATAAGATATAAAAGATCAAGTTTATTAAGTTGAATGAGAAACAGCAACCAAGTTTCATTCTTTTCATCTGTTATGTTTCGTGAATGAATCAAACGAGAGTGAAAAAAACCAAAACAAATTTTATTATTTATATTCTTACTGTGAAACAAATCTTAGCAAAAATATTTTTTATTTAACCTATCAACAGTCATGGCACTAAGTCGAACAAAACCGGTAATGTGCATGAGTTTTTGAATTAATTAATATACTATTGTAGAGAAGATGAATAATTGTAATGTGAACGAAGATTTTTTTGTTATTCTTCATTTATTTATACAGTTGTTTTTTTTTCTCGTCTAAATAGAATATTCACAATGAGTTATTTCATCAACGTTATAGTGAATTAAGTGATGAAATTCGTGCGAAAAATAAACGTGAAGATCGTCTTCTTGATATTCGTTTAAAATATTATGAACGTGAAAAAAATATTCGTTTGAATATTTTACGTAAAGAACAACATCAACTAGAACGTACACGTTCATTACTTATTGAATCATTAAATAGAATTCATCAAGATAAACAAAATCCATTAATAGCGTCACTTATTGCAGAGAAAACAAAACTAGAATCTTCAATAGTGCAATTATCAACACCAGAATTATTCAATATAGATTGGGAACCAAGTTCACATTTAAAACAAGCAGAATTAATACCATCGATTCCAACTGATAAAACAATTAAACCTAAAAGTGTCATACGACCTCATTCAGCAGGTTAATTACAAAACTTATTTGAAAAATAATTTGTACAAAGAAAAAAAACACAAAAAAATAAAAATAAAAATCTTTCTGATTCTTTTCTTATGCGTTTTCAACTAATGTTAATGCTAATTGTTCTAAATAATTTAATTTTGTTTCAAATCGAATTGCTGTTTGTTCAACTTCTTCAATACGAGCACTTAAACTTAATTGTCGTTTTTGTTCATCAGATAAATATGAAGCTGGTTTTGTTGTACCTAATACTAAATCTAAACGACGTTGTACATCATTTAACATAATTGATAAACGATTATTCATTTGTGTATTTTCTTTAACAACATCTTTTATATCAATAGGACGTTTTGCTTGTTGAAATTTTTTACAAGCAACCAAATATTTAAGTATACGAATAACTTTTATTGCTGTTATATAACGTTTTGGTAAATCATTGATACTTATTATTGATTTTCGTCGAATACGATTTGATTTTATTGTTGTTGTCATTGGATCTGTAACATTAAATTGTAATGAATTCATTTCAGAAGATGTATTATCTGTTGATGCAATTACCAATGGTACTGTATTATGAATTGTTGATAAAGGACCATCCATACGACGTTGAATTATTGTGTAAATTTTCCATGTTGATACAAAACGATCACCATGATAAACACATCGAAGACGCCACCAATTACGTATAACAGTAGCAGCAGCAGGTACAAGACGACTTAATGCTTCATCACGTTTTTGTTCTTGAACTTTTATAGCAAGGCCCTTTTTAAGTTTAAAAAAAAATATGTATGACGAGAAAAAAACCAAGAAATGTATTTTACATACACTTCCAATAATGCCTGTTGGTAAACACCAAAATGCAACACCAAGAAAACAAATTGTTGTTGTTATCATTTTAGCAATATATGTTGTAGGATAAAGATCACCAAAACCAATTGTTGTCATCTATAATTAATATTTAAATTTTAGAAATGAAGATAAAAATTGATTAGGTTTTCAATTCTTTGTTTTTTGTTTTGAAGGATTCAAACATATTTATCTCTGTTTAATTAATATATTCGAAAAGTTAGTCACAAATTTAGACTTTGTTTTAATTCAATTAATAGAAAAATAATATGATGTTTATGCTTGACTAGATAAATCTTCTACTAGTGAAGAATAATGATAAACAGTAGATTGTTTAAGACTTCCTGAAATTTTCATCAGAAAAATCGAAACAGAATATAGTCGGAATTCTGATCTTTTATAAACGACATGATCTTTTTTGACATCGCGTTTATTTGCCAAAATTTGTAATGATTTCTGTCATCATCTGCTTGCAAACCTATTTATGTTTTTCCAAAAATTCTCGAAAGAGCTTCATTGTAATCAATTACTTTTTGTTTTGTTTGAAAGAGTATGTGAGGCTGCAGTGTCCGTTTTTTGAATTAAGCCTGTTTTATTATTATATAAAAATACACTTCTAGAAATGCATGACCATTGTTTGAGGCTTTCAAAAAAAAAATTAAATCTATAGAATGGGGTCCGCACTCTTTTTGACCTTTGTTTGTTGAATATCTTTCGAAAACACCGTGATATAGGGTCATAGTCGCTTCACGACAGCCTCACCATATGTTGAAAATTTCATACGATTTGAATATACTTAGTCTAGGATCAATTTTTGATTGGAGTCACAATGTGAAATTTCTAAAGAGTGTGTGGACACGACTTATTTTCTGTCAAAAATACGTTTTTTTTTTACAAAAACATTAATTTCCAGTATTCAATAAAAAGCTAGATGGAGGGAAAAAAAATAAAATTTGTAAAAGAAGGTTTTCGATGTAAAATGTATGAGGGATCCTTACCCTATAAATTTGTCGGAAAAATTTTTATTTTAAAAATTAACAAATAACACATTACTTAATACAGTCATTTTTTGGGCTTAGGATTTTTCCAAACCTTAAAGTGGTAGAATAATTTTTTATATATCAAAAAGTCGGCTATTAGCCAAAGTATATTAGGCATTATTCAAATCACAAAACATATCACTTTCATTTTTTTCTCGAAATATTCACGTTATTGGCCACTGCGAGAGTCTTAGTAACACTTAAGTATATAATTCTACAGTTTTGTACATTCATTTTTATATACGTTAGTACTTGCAGCTTTTGTTTCTTTTTGACATTTAAAAGTCTAGATTTTCTACTCAATTTCTTTCTAAAGCTATATCAACATTGCTAAATCTCTAATTTTTAAACAGACAACAACTAATGATAGTAAAATCTAATTATGATTTTCGAATCTTTAGTTCTTTTTTCTTCAAATTTTGATTATTCATTATTCAGTCGATTCATCATTTTGAATAGAACAAGGGAAGAAAAGCATTTTGTTTTTATCCGTTTTAATGTGTTCGTCAAAGGATGGACAACATGAATATATTTATATCGATCGTCAATGACTATTTGACATCTCCATAAAATTGATCTTTATAAGTCTATAAATTATGTTGATAGAACAATACGCAAATAGTTATCTTTCAAGATATTGTGATCATAAAAAACGTTCTATCAATAGATATTTGAGTTTAATCAAAAATATAATGTAAAATGCAAAAAAAAAACATATTTCTATGATATCTTCAAAAATTTTGTTCTTGTGTATGATGAAACTATGCAAACAATGTTCTTATACATTCCCCAACGTACATCTTTTTTTTTTTTTATCTCAAAAATTGAATAGTAAAAAACAAGTAACTCGTCAAATATGTAAAAGAAAAAAGCCTTTCTACTTTCAAAATACACATTACCGTGATAATTGAAAACCACATTGTATCAGCTACTGATTTAAATCGTCCAACACCTAAACTAGTATCAATAGGTGTTTCAGCAAGATAAACAAGATAAGAACCAGTAATAAGAAACATAAATGCAATAACTAATGTAATCGTAAGTTCTTGACGATGTGCTATAATAATATCTTTTAAAATTTTCCATGATGATAATTGTCTATCAACACGTAAAAATCGAATCATTTGTAATGGTGGTAAAAATTTTAATGTTAATAATGGAAATTTTCTTATTTTTATACCTGTAGTTAATGCTAATATAAAACCAAATAAAGTTAATATATCAAGCACAATAACTAGTCGACTTATAAACATTAAACGACCAAACCATGTTCGATATTTTGAAAGACAACCAGCTGACCATATACGTAATAATAATTCACAAGTAAAAAATAAACATAAAGCTAATTCACCATAATATAATGGTGTATTTAATGTTGATCGCCATTCATCGATAGTTGATATTGAACCAAATATAAGTGAAATAAGAGTTAAAGCAAATACAAATAGATGATAAGCAAGTGTACGTGTGCCTTCTTGTCTTTCAAGAACATGATATATATCGATTTTATTAATAAATATTGTTGAAAACCATCGAAAAAATTTATGACGATTATCTTCATCATGTATATCAAATGTTACTGAATAAAGTGATGCAGTTGACATACGAGCATGAGATGGATTAATACCATGTGACATAACATTTCGATGTCGAATACTCATATCTAGATATTAAAGATTTTAATGTATGCAACTGTTTTTATTCATCGATATTTAATCTTTATTTAAGACTTCAGCGATTCGTAAATATTCTTTTCTCGTATTATAAAAGAAAAAGAAAAAGAAACAACGAAAAGGATACTATTACGTGACAAGAAAGACAAATATATTGTATAATGATATATTCTTTCTATTATCTTTTTATCAGTTAATTTATTCAAATAAAAATCATACTAATTTGAATTATAGAAATTATTAACATGAATGGAATTATTCTGTTTTTAACAATAGACTTTTTGTCTTAGCCATCTGGTGACCTCTATTTGTTAACCATTGTTACACCTACAATCTTGAGGGTGTTGTCATGTAATCTATCATCAGATAAAACATCTGATGGTTATCATTCTTGACCCAAAAAAATAAAAGAACATGTTTAAGTATCATTTCTTTTTAGTATAGAATTCACATGCAAAGAAAAATAGTTTAAATAAAAAACACTCGAAAATTTTCATCTAAAAATGTCTGATGGTAAATCAAATTATCTACATGTATTCATTAAATATTATTATTTGAATTTTAGGAGTAGACACACATATATTAAGATACTATGAGATTCAGAAACGTCTTGGAAAAGGAGCTTATGGTATTGTATGGAAAGCTACTGATAAACGAACTAAGGAAGTAGTTGCATTAAAAAAAATATTCGATGCATTTCGAAATCAAACTGATGCCCAAGTAAGATAATTAATAAGTAAATATATAAATATATTCATTTATTTTTTAGAGAACATATCGTGAAATAGTTTTCTTACGTGAATTTGGTGAACATCCAAATGTTATACGATTACAAAATGTTTTACGAGCAGATAATGATCGAGATATTTATCTTATTTTTGAATTTATGGGTAAAAAAAAATTCAAGATTTCTATATTAAATTTTTGAATTCTTTTCTATTCAGAGGCTGATCTTCATAATGTTATACGAAAAGGAAATATTCTTAAAGATACACATAAACGTTATGTTATGTATCAATTATTAAAAGCAATGAAATATCTTCACTCAGCAAATGTTATTCATCGTGATATGAAAGTAAAAAAAAAAAGTCTAGTATAGAAAAAAGAATTTCACTAACAAAATCCTTTTCTTTTAGCCATCAAATATTTTAATTAATCAACAATGTCGAGTTAAAATTTGTGATTTTGGTCTTGCAAGATCATTAAATCATGTTTATGAAGATCCACAACATCCTGCATTGACGGAATATGTTGGTAAGTCAATTTAAATAAAAATTTTATGTATTATTTATTTTTTGTTTTATTTTTAGCAACAAGATGGTATCGTGCACCAGAAATTCTTCTTGCTTCATCAAAGTATATTTAAAGCTTTTTTTTGTGAAGAGATTAGATTAAATTAAATAATATTTTTGTATATTTAGATATACAAAAGGAGTTGATATGTGGTCGATTGGTAAGTAACAAAAAAAACAAGTCATTTTACAAAGAAATTTTAATGGATGAGAAGTAGACATCTAAGAATATTTCTTTCTGAATAAAATTGAACGACAAACAAGTTTAAATAAACTACGTTAAGTCTCGAACATGTTTTTTTTTGTGTGAGAGAATTAAAAGATTAAAATCGGAATTTACTTATGTCAATATTGATTTTTACTTAAATTGAAACATACTTGAATATTAGTTAATAAAAAACAATTAAATCGAGATACTAAGGGATGATCGAAAAATGTCGACACATCTCAAAAGATCGATGATAACTATAGCGAATCAATATATGGTTAATTTATGAAAATATGTAATTTTGTAGAGGAAGATTCGAGCTATCATTTGAAAAAAGATATTTCGAAATATTCAATATTACGGTCATTTTTCATTTTACAGTTTTTTGAGAAAAATTTTAAAAAAATTTCGTATGTCTTTTGCTCATAGAGATTATTTTTATCAGACTTACTTCGATGAGTCAAAAGCTATGAGTTGGGATCGGAACTCTGCGCTCTTTTTTGAATATAGGCTTAGAAATTTCGACTTAGTTTTTGTTTGAGAGTAGTGAAATAATCTTTGACAAGCGAAAAAAATTAGTTTGGACGAAAAATTTTTGTACTTTCACTATTACGATTTGAAACTATAACTTGAGACCTTTATTTATATATCAGTTTATAGAATAGAAGCTACCCTACAAATTGCGCAGTTTGAATATTTTTTAGCTTTCTACGAATCACGTCAATTTTTCTTTTTCCTAAATACTTATTTTTAAAAAATCGACAACCGTCTTACATTGATAGGTGCTCTTGAAAAAATGATTGTAGCCTTACTGCAGTAGAAACTACATTAGTAATTCAAAATCACATTTTGTAGAGAAGTGTTCGGTGTACAAAACGACTGACTCCAACAATTTTTAGCATGTTCAATAAGGAACTTATAGGGTAAACAAAAAACCTGTTGACTCACAAAAATAGACACAACATTTCTAAACTCATATTCGAAAAGAGCATAAAAATATCCTACTTTCTGGCAACTTTTTATAGATTCATTGTAACTTTGGACAGAACCGGATATTGAGGAGGTCTCGAGGGAAGGACGGCCTAGTGGACAGGTCTTCTCTGAGAATGAAAGTACTTTCTGTCGAATTTTTAGTCCTTCCCACTTCTAGAAAATATCGATAACCTTAGTTCTGACTCATAGCTTTTGACTCTGAATAAATATCTTGTTGGAAAAGTTTCCAATTATTCTTTATGCTTGTTGCTTGAATTTATCTTTCTAACAGTTTTTTACAACTTTATTAAGAAACCTTAAGTTAAAAGTAATCGTTCAAAAACAAGGAGTCAACGCATAAGAAAAACTTAGCTTAAAAGAATGTAACATGCAAATATTCACTCAAGATTAGTGAAATCACTATAACATTGTATTACATTTATACATTTCAAAGTATCGTTTCAGATGATAGGTCGACTGTTCCTCTACAAAATTACATTTTTCAATTAATTAACTGCATATATAGATTTGTCATACATATTACTGATTTACTGTGAGAGGGTTCGAAGCTTTTCGACCATTCTTTGTGAAAATAACATATATTAATTCTAAAAGTTTTTGTTTTTTTTTCATTTCCAGGTTGTATTTTTGGTGAAATATTACTTGGGAAACCATTATTTCAAGGAACATCGACATTTAATCAATTAGAACGTATTCTTCAATATATTCCAAAACCGAGTCAATCGGATATAGATAGTATTTCATCACAATATGGACCAAGTGTATTAGAACGTGCATCATCTGTGTAGATTTTCTATTCTAAAAATTTGTTTTTGTTTTTCATTTTATTAATTATCAATTTTAGACCAAGAAAATCATTTGATAATTTAATTCCAGGTGCTACTGAAGAATCAATTGATTTACTTCGTCGTCTTCTTCAATTTAATCCAGATAAAAGAATTATAGCAGACGAAGGACTTCGTCATAGTTTCGTTGTTTCGTATGTTTATTATTATTATTATTTTGTATATTTATTTTCTTCAATTTATTTGTAATAATTTAATAGATTTCAAAATTCAAAAGAAGAAATTGTTAAAGGTTATGATGTCGTTCCACAATTAAGTGATGATATACAATTAACTATTGACGAATATCGAAAAAAATTATATGAAGTAAATATAATTTCAATATAAAAATAAATCTTTATTTTTAATTTTTTTTTAAATACAGTTAATTCAATTACGTAAAGTATCAGCTAAAATACCAACAAATACATCTTCAAATTCCAATAATACAACAGAAGTTCAACCATCAAAACCACGTGAGAATTCAGCCGATCAACAACAACAACAACAGCAACAACAACAACAACAACAACAACAACAACGTTATGGTGCCAGTGCATATATAGATCAATCAGAATATGATTCTTTTGTACAACCAACAATTATAACAAAACAAGATGAAGCTACTCGAGGAGCTTATTCGAATTATACACAACCAAATGCAAATGATTATAATAAAACTCGACAAGTTTATAATCAAGATAAAACTGATGATGATTATTCAAATGAACAACAACAACAACAATATACAAAACCTTCAACAACAGCATACCCTGGACTTCTTGGACGAACAAGTACTTATAATAATTTACAATCAACTCAAGGACAACCAAGAGTAACAAGTGCGAAACAACGAAATTCATCATCTGGTTCAAATATATATCAAGTAATTTATAAAAAGAAAAACTCAAATTTTTATCGCATATTATTATTTTGTGGTATACAATCTAAAGGCAGTGTTGAAATATATAGAGTTAGACCGTGACAGACACTATTCGAAGACCATCATAGGCCGAAATAGATGCTGATCGGATGCTCTCAGAAACCGCGGCAAACATTAACTAAAGATCGTGATGCACCTTAGTCAAGGACCATCACAGACGGTGACAGACGCCTTAGCAACGTTTTCTATCTTCGTCATAGTCCGTGGCAGATGTTGTTGATATACGATCAAAGACCATATATCAATAATATCTCATTATAATATATGAACTACTTATTTCATTTCAGTAGGATTAAGTCAAAAGATGGTGAAGAATATAGAGCAGCCGGAATTTTATCAATAGGACTTTCGCAAACTGCTACAAAACAATATTAGTATAGGATACATGCGAGAGCTGAAGCTAATATTGTTGAAATATATATATCAGAGCTTACACTCATCAAATGTAGTTGATAGGAAGTTCTTTTTAAAATTCATATCTAATTTACAGTCTAATTGGCGAAATTTTTGGAACCACGAAATACACTCCAAAATAGATAGAATAAAACAATCTGTCTATCCTTAGAAAAAAGCAGCTACATCGTATTTTATATTTTATTCCTACAAGGAGTTCACTAACAACTTTTTTTTTTTGTTGATTAAGAAAACAAATTTTGGAAATTTAATGCGTGAAAAAACATCCACAGCTAATCGAGGTTTTCGTTCCGGTTCAGCTCCAACACCAATACCACCACCTAAACAAACAAATAATGGAAATAATAATTATTATATTCGTCGTCCAACTGTTGTATTTAATGATGAACGTATTGGTCCAAGTGATAAAAGTAGTGGTGCACAAGTAAAAGTGAACCAAAAATTTGTAAATTTTCATTTTTGTCTTCCTTTTTTTTTAATTATATTCTGTTTTTTTGTTAGATATCAAGTCTTCGACCTAGTTCAGCTGTTGATATTCGACCTAAATCTCGTTTTCAGTCGGCATCAACTATTCAACAATTGAATTCTGGTGCATCAGCATCAGCATTTGGATCTTATTCTGGTCAACAACAACAACAACAACAACCACAACGTCGTCCAACATATGGAAATTATTCTAACATGACATCATCAATGATGGCACGAGATAATCTTGGTGGTTATAATCAAAATATGGGTACAATTACTCAAAATGGACTTCGTGTTCTTGATGGGCTTCTTCATAATATCACGTAAAAAATTAGTTCTGTTCTTTTTTTTTCTTAGTGTTTACATTTCACCTATTTTCTTTTCTTATATATGACCAAGAGTTATCTGCAATGTAAATTTCTTTGTTTTTTTTTTTTTGAGAAAAGTAAATATGAAATAAAATGTCATTAATCTGTTTTTGTTTCTTCAATTGGAATATTTGAAATTTCTTTTTGATTCAACATTAACCATTTTCTATTAATTAAATCATATTTTGATACTGGAATAAATTGATCTTCTTCATCTGGATTATCTGATTTCATTTTTTCTGATATTATTAATATATTATTATCAATAGCTACGATATTTAATTTTTTAAGATTAGGTATATCAGTTAAATGTGACCAATCTTTTGTTGATTTATCATAACATAAAATTTCTGCTACAGGTATTAATTCACCAGATGATGATTTCGTATAACCACCACATGCAAAAAGTCCACCATCAGGTGGTATAATATCATTACCACATGCAACAAGTAATGCACGTGCTCGTGGTGATATTGTTTGAGATTTATTATTAATATTAAATGTATTCTTTAATATTGTCCATCTAAATATGTTTTTGTATAATATAAAAAAGCAGAATAATTTTTTTTTACATACTTTTTTGATGTTAAATCTTCAAGTTGTAAGAATTCATTACGAAATAGAACATGACCAGAAAGTAAATCATATCCACCAAAAACATACAATGAATCTTTATCATCAAGTGTTACAGCAGGACCTATGAATAAAATGTATATATATAAATACAAAAATAAAGAACAAAAACAAAAAGAAGTTTCTGTAAATATAGTTTCTTGTTAAATTTGACAAATCATAAAAGAGAGTATGAATGATTCTGAATTTATGAAAATATCTTGGAACAACATAATCAATTTATTTAGTAAATCAGAAATGATATATTGCTCATTATTTTATCAAACTTTTGATATATGATCCATTTCAGACAAAATGTGACATATCCAATTTCTATTTGACTTTGATTCTTCAGAAGGATTATTTTTTTGAATAAGATCTTTTAGCAGAGATATGCGTAAAAATATTGACTCTTTTAACTGGTTATTAATTAATTAAACAAGTCATTAACGAATATCTCTCTAACCATACGAGAGAACAATCCGAAAATTTCAACATACACTCAACGGTACGAATTGCATCTTTGGTGAGATTTTCACCAAGATCAAACTCCAACATCTTCGTCTTAAAAGCCGATGTTCTAGAGATCCAATCAAGTCTCGAAACAAAATTTGTTGTCTTACTATCATCTAGAAATACTGAAGAAGGCATTGTACCGTTTAGAATTGTTTTTGAACTCCTCATCCAGTTATACGGGCATTTTTTCGTACTCCGTCACATGGATAACGAATAGTAAATCGATTTTTTTTGAAAAACCTAGACATGTTGAGAAAAAGCTTTGGACAGAGATTTTGTAGTCAATGTTATTTTTTGAGCCACGTCACTAAAGCTAGGTTTTGACTGATAACTCTTCTGAGCAAAGGTCTCTAGCGCTGATCTTTTCAAAGCATCTAGAATAACTTAACGTACATGTAACATAAAAATTAACTCTATGAAAATTCATTATCCCGAGATACATATGTTTTAATTTTGCAAAGTCCTGTCACTAATGAATGATTTTACCCATATGTTAATGTTCTTATAATTTAACCCAAGACTTTAATCAAGAACTATAACAATTAATAAAAGATCTATTGTGTTTTTCGGCGAAGAATACCAAAAAAGGTTTCACATTATCTCAAACAATTGAATAGTGTAGATCGACAATTTTCAAGTGAATTTCATCAGAATCTATTCTTGTTACACTTAAACAAGGGTGGGTATGGGTCCTCTGTCCATTCACAGTCGTAATCATATATCATGCACTCACATTCGAAGCACCCTCATTCACGCCTCCTTACTCACATCCTAGGACTTGAATAAAATACTGCTGTTTCATTATGTTTCGGACATTTTTAGCGACGTACGATTTTTATTAGAATTCATATAACTAGCTTCTACTCATAGAAAAAGTATATTTCGAAGCAATTGATCTAGAAAACTAAGGAGCTGCGTCTAGAGAAAATTTTAATGTTAAACAATAATTCTTTTTTGTACACAATTAATTTATCTATACGATATATATTCTCACCACATAATGGATTTGGTAAGGATGGTAACATTTCCCATTGATCATCAGTTTGTCCATATACATAGCAAGTTTCTGTCGGTCTACAAATCATATATATATATATACATATTTCTAACTATTTGATTTCAAAATTTCTTACATATTTATTATTGTATTTCCTCCAATAACAACCATTTTTCCTATTAAAACATTATATTAATAAAAATCGAAAAAGAAATTAATATATTTCTCCACCATTATTAGCTGCAACACCAAAATTAATACGTCCGTGACCTGGTACAGGAGGAATTTTTTCTAATTTTTTCTCTTCGATATTCCATTTCCAATCATTCGATGGTGCTCGACGTTCTTTTCGAATTGAATCAAATAGATAACCACCTATGAAATCGAATTTTACAAACAAAAAATTTCTAAATGTTATAATCATACCAACAATATATACAATATTCGGCATATTAACATAATAAGCACGTTTTCTTAATTCTAGACCACGTAACATATCTGCTAGTTGTGTATTAATTTTATCTAATTCCGTATCCACTTGAAGAAAAAAAAGAGAAAATGAATTTCAATTTCTTTTATGTCGTAGATTTTTTACATTTATCATTATCAGATGATGTAATAGCATTAATTGATGTAAAATCTTCAATATTTTCTTGTCGTGCATCTTTTAGAAAACCATACTATTAAAATATATAATCAAAAAACAATTATTTTAAATCATTTAAAACCTATTTACTTGATCTCGAAATGCAAATTTTTCAAGAAATAATGTCGTACAACGAGGACTTCTATCATTATATCGTTTTAGATATGCCATTAAATAAATAACAAATAAATAAATATAAATACGCGCTCAAATAATTATTATTTTTAAAGAAAAGAAAAAAAAACGATACATAATATAACAATTTGATTTTTCTTTTTTCGTTTTAGCATTTCAACGGAACACTCAAAAAAAAAAGCAAGCCTACTAACATCGTGTTCGTTTACACCAGAAGTATATGGAATGTTGAAAAAAAATCAACACAAACACATTCGTGAATATATGACTAGTGTAAAATTTTCATTCGAATAAATCATCAATGAATATTTTCTGCACTTGTCAATCGACCACGAGATGGTGGAATAAATTGTTGTTTATTTTGTTGTTGATGATCAATAGAATATATATTTCTTAATGTTCGATTTGTTTGTTGTTGTTGAAGAGGATAAGATGGTGAAACATTATTTAAAACAGACATTGATGATGCACGTTTTATAGTTGAATCTTGTTGTTGAAATTGCATTGAATTAAATGATGGAAGATTTGATGGTGTACCACGAAGTTTTTGTACAAGTTTTTCTGAACCACGTCGAATACTTTGACGTAATTTTTGAAATGAACCACTACGACGTAATTTTCCATATTCTTGTGTAATAGGTACTTGTGAACGTCGAATTGTTTCATGATTAATATCATCATTTAGTTGAATTTGTTTTAAAATATCTAATGCACGATTAATAACATCAGATTGATTTTGTAAAGATTTTGTTGCACATAATTCAAATAAATCAGCTTGTTCATAGAAATTTAATCGACGACAAAGTGCTCCTAAAAATAAAATTTTTATGAAACAAAAGAATTTAAAAAAAAAAAAAATTTTACCGAGATTTTTTAATGTTGTCATAATTATTGTTGTATCACGATTAGAATTTAATGATTGACACTGTTCATTTGATATTAATTGAGATTCAGATAAAATTTCTTCATATAATTGTACAGCTAATTTATATTTTCCTTCACGTAAATATGCTGATGCAAGATTATTTTTTGTTTTTGATACATTAGAATCATTTTTACCATAATTTTTTGTATAAATTTCAATAGCACGTTTATAATATTCTTCAACTTTATCATATTTACCTTGATTAAGACATAATAATGCTAAATTATTTAATTGTTTTCCAACATCTGGATGATTCATACCAAAATATTTTTCACGAATTTCTAATGCACGTTTACATAATGGTTCTAGATAAATAAAAAAAAAATAATTTTCAATAACAATTAAGCAGTGGATCGAAAGTTTCCAGACAAAATATAAAACTATATTTTTGTGTATTTAAATACATAGGAAAAGAGTGAGAAGTGGAGTCCGAATCCTGTTGAATTCAGGTTCGGAACGAATCCGATGGACTCTAGTGACAAGTAGTGTATGAGAATTAGAATTTTGTGTTCTCTCAGAATATATGCTTAGAATTTTTCTATGATTTTTGACTGTTGAGCTATAAGTGGAACTCGAAAAATTTTTTTTCGAGGAAAAAAACCTCAAATAGAATTTGTTCGAGATATGCCACAAAGTTTTAATTGAATATATTGGAAGATACAGAAAATAAGGTTTTTATACAGCGGTATATTTGAATAGAATTTTTCGGAAACTATTGAAGTGTAGTAACAGCTTTTATAAAGTCTATCACAAAACAAAATCGCTATTTTTCTGATTTTCGCCCTTCTAGCGTAAAATGATCCTCCGCTATAATTCTGCCATTTTTTAACAGATTAATCAAAACTCTTCATTCTTGCGTCATTTTTGTAGGGTAGAGATCATCTTCAAGTACGATATATTTGTAGAACTTACTTTATTTCTACAGGAAATAGAGTACTACACGGGCACAACTTCTCATGCTCCGCCAATTGCGTACTCAACCCACGGACCGTAGTGCTCTAACAGGAAGCAGTCTTGTCTTTAGAAAAAGAATATTTGTGCCTCACCGAAAAATTCTTTCGGGTCCTGTCAATAATCAAAAGTCATAGAAAACAACATGTAAGTATATATTCTGAAAGAGTAAAAAATTCTCGATTCTAAAGCACTACTAATGCATTTAAATAGACGAAAAATAATCAAATATTTTTGTCTAAAAAATTTCAATCGAGTTCATACCTGCTTCTTTATATCGATTCTTTTTTCCATAAAGTACAGCTAAATTATTTAATGTTGCAGCAACAGCTGGATGTTCATTTCCAAGTGTTTTTTCTCGTATTGTTAAAGCTTCAGTTAATAATTGTAATGCTTCTTTAAATTTATTTTGATCACGATAAACTAATGCAAGTATATTAAGCATTGTTGCAACATCTGGATGTGTATGACCATGAGTTTTTTCAAGATCTTCAAGTGCTTGTCGACATAATGGTACAGCAACTTCATATCGACCAGCTTGTGCATACTGAATAACAAGATTATGTAAAGTACGAAAACGTGGTGGAATTTCTGAATGATTTTTATTTGTTTCTAAATTTGTATTTGAATTTATTTGTATTTGTTCTTTTGTTTCAATTGGTATATCTGTATTAATATCAATTGAATTTGTTAAATTAATATTATCTGATATTGATTGTGATGATATTAATGATTCATTTAATAAATTAATATCACGTTCATAATCTTGTCGTATGTGTGTACTTGTTTGTAAATGTTTTTCTGTTAATGAAAGTTCATCACGTAACCAACTATTTTCTTGTGTTAATCTTTGAACTTGTAACATTAATTTATGTATTTCACTATCAAGATTTTCTAAATGATTATCAAGTTGTAACATAACAAATGCTTCATCAATACCCAAATCAATTGATTCAAGTGATTGGTGAAGACGTTGACATTTATTATCATCATCAATTGTTGATGAAAGTAATAAATTATGTTCATGTCGTAATGATTCAAGATCAGATAGAACTAATCGAGTTGAATGAGTTAAATCAGAATTTATACATGTTGTACTCATCTAGAATATTTCAATATGAGATCAAAGATAAATATGTCTCTTTTCTTATTGTATATTTTTTGATTGAACCGTATAATTCAATGTACATGTTACATTCAATCGTATAATATATTTCGTCATTTACTACCAAACTGTAGAGATGCGAGAGTGAGACAGAGAGAAAAAAGAAAAGGAAAGGTTACAAAATGGTAATGAAGTATATGTTGTTTTACATTCTATTTTTCTTTCGATATATATTGTTTTATTATAATTGAATGAATATGTAAGATTTGACGAGATTATTCAACACTGAATTAGAATTTAATTCATCTTACCGTATTCTTATAAACTGTTCAATAAAATAAGTTTAAGTGTTTACCGTCTGGTTGCCACTAGATATATATATATATATATACATACGTTCGAGTATTTTTTTTTCTCTCGCTCTCTCTCTCTCTCTCTCTCTTTCTTTCTATCACCATCATCGCCATTAGTGATTGAATGCTATATATACATATCAGCTGTTATACCGAAAAAAATCAAATTATAATTTCAAATCAGTATAGACAATGAAAAGATGAAAACAAAGATTAACGTCTTATATATATATATAGATATAGATATAGATATAAATTTTCATGTTTTACTACTCACTAGTTCATTATAAAATCATTTAGATGTGAAGACAAAAAAAAACAGAATGAAATGTGTTAGTTGTGTAGTAAGAATAGTAAACGAGGATGGCTCGACGACATATTAAGAAGAGAAAAAAAAATCGAGAATGAAAGGTACGTATTTTTCTCTCTCTCTTTCTGCTTACATTTGCCTCGTCGATGTTCAACATCGGCACGAGGTCACAGAGCCATAAGTCAACATTGAACAGCACATAGCACTGGCCATCATCAACTATTCTCTTTATTTTTTTCTTCTTTCGTTGATCGTTCCCAATGTAGAAAGAAAGAATGATGATTGAGCTCAAGGTCATCAGTTAATCTACATGTCTTTTATTTTATTTATACTTTAATCATCGACTTTAACGAGTTTATTGATAGAAGCAAAGCGTGCGTATTGATAGTTTATTTATATCTAAACATATATATATATGTATGTATTTATCCCAAATAGCTCTACAATCTATGTATGATGATATTAATGACTAGATTATTGCGTGAAGAAAAATATAAAGAAAAGAGAAAACGAATAATCGATAAAGAGTGTAATTAGAGATTTGTCATAGCTGTTGTATGATCTGTAAGCATCCGTTGTTTTGTTTCCTTATCATTATCATCTATGGATCGATTTCGATCAATAGTTGGTGTTGTAATTTTTTTCCATCGCTGAAAGAAAACAAAAAAAGAAAAGAAAGATGAAAAATTGAAGAAATTCTAAATGTCTTTTACTTCTTTAAATGAACCAGTTTGTCTTGAATATATAATTATAATATAAATTGGTATAGCTAAAATTGATGAAAGTGCAATACACCAACCAATATATTCAGCCCATTTAGGAAATTGATAATTTTTATATTTGACCGGTTCATATTCAATAAGACTAAATATTGCAATACTCTAAAATAAAATTTCTATAGAATCAAGAAAAAACAAAAAGATTTTTTGTTTTCTTTTTCTCTTACAGTACAAAGTAGAGGAGTAAATACAATCCAACACCATTTCCAAAATCTTCCAGGATAAAAACCAATCATATCTTTAATATCTTCATAAAATCTATCGGCACCATAAAACCATGATACACTGATACATTCGAAGAAAAGTAATACAAGTAAACACCAACCACTAGCTGAATAATAATCAAGAATTTTGAATACATACATTCCACCCTTTAAACAGAAAAAAAAAATTCAAAAATTTCTTATAAATATAAAAATAACCTGAGTAACTGTTGGTAAACCAATTAAATAAGATATTAGACAAACAAAAGCTATAAATAATTCTTTTCGTCGACGTAAAATTGGCCATTCATCAACACATGCTGTTATAAAACCTTCCATTGTCACAAACTAAAAAGTTCATGTTTTTTTTTTTTTTTGTTATTTACTAAAAATAAAACACGGTTTAGTAAATAGAAATTACAAACCTGACTATCAAGACCAATAAAAATAATCATAATAAAAAAAAGTGCTGACCAAAATGGTGAAAATGGTAATTGAGCAACTGCAGCCGGATAAGCAACAAATGCTAAACCAGGTCCTACAAAAAACTTATTTTTTTTTTTTAATAAAATAAATTCATTCTATTTTAATTACCTGAATCAGCTACTTCACTAATTTTTCGTCCTTCAGTTTTAGCCATAAATCCAATGACAGAAAAGATGACAAAACCACTTATTAAACAAGTTCCTTCATTAAAAGCAGCCAAAATAAGTGTATCTCTAGAATAGAATAATTTCTTTTTTTTATTTTATTTTTCTAAACTATTCTATTTGAATTGAAAATTAATTTTCTTTTTTATTACCTATAACAATTTTTATTATATTTATTATAACTTCCTAATGCAACAAGTGCACCTAAACCAAGTCCATAACTAAAAAATATTTGTGTTGATGCTTCAATCCAAAGCTTAAAAATAAAATGAAAATATTTTATTTTGATTTTCTTTTTTTCTTTATATTATTCAAAATAATTTTACTGCAGATGTTTTTAATTTTGTTAAATCAGGTATAAATAAATATTTTATACCATCCATGGCACCTTCAAGTGTTAAACCACGAATAAGTAAAATAAATAATAATAAATAAGGAAACATTGATGTAAAATAAACAACTTTTCCTGTCCATCTAACACCTTTCCAAATACAAAAATAACATGCTATCCAAGAAATACCTAATGTTATAACTAATGGCATACGTAATGAACCTGGTTCACTTATATCATCTGTAATTTGTAATGCATTACGTCTAAATATAAATGATTATTAAATTAATTGATATATCTTTTTTTCTGTTTGTTTTTTCAAAAGAACATACTCCCAAAATTCTTTAACTGGACTTGTAAATTGTGCAAGATGATCAGTGACATTTTTTAGACATACCATCATTGATGCATTTGTTTTGAATTGTATTGATGAACATGTCAACAATGATGAATAATTACGCATTTGTGGTAATGTACGACATGATGGTGAATTCCACCAATTAGTACATGTTGACCATGGTAATATTGAACTAATTACCGAATTATAAGCATAATATAAAGCCCAAGCAAGTACAACAATATAATAGCAATTAAGCCAAAATGCTATTATAGCTGCAGCATAACCAACACCTTATAAAAATCAAAAGAGAAGACTTTCTTTTATGAATAAAAAAAAAAAAGAAATGATTATTATTATTATTTACCTTTGAACATTGGACATATTCTCCATATACCAAGACCACCAATACTTGTATATTGACCGAGAGCTACTTCAAGAAAAAATAAAGGTATACCACCGCAGATTAATGTTACATAGTATGGAATAAGGAATGCTCCTAATAAAAAAAAAAGAAAAGGAAAGTAATAATTATATTGAAAAAAAAAAGAAAAATTGAACTAACCTCCACCATGTTGATAACATAAATAAGGAAATCGCCAAACATTACCAAGACCAATGGCATAACCAATGCATGAAAAAAGAAAATCAGCACTGCCTGACCATTTTTCTCTTGGTTTTGAATCGACCATTATTTTATTCAATAATCAAATCTAAATTGATAATAAATGAAGAAAAAGTGACTTTTTTTTTTCTTTTAATTTTTTCTAGTAGATATAATATGAATATAAAAAGTTCAGTTTATCTAGTAGCTAACATATCAACATACAGATTATTATATTTGATATGAATAAAATAATGGCAAAGATAACATTTGTCTTCTCATATCACTATTCTTCTTCTATACTCACAAGTCGACTTTAAATGGTTAGGCTTATTTGACAATTATTTGTGGACAAATTATATTGATCTAGGCCTTTTTTTTTCTTCTTTTTTTCTTTTTGCCTTGCTTCTCCTTTTCTCTTTTTAATCAACGAATCGAATGAAGACATCAACAAAGTACCAAAATATATTTGTTTTTGGTCAGTCAGAACAAATTTTTCTTGTTATCACTTTCTTCGTTTCTCTTTATTCTTCGATTACTTTATTATTCGGCACATCAAAATAATCAAGGTCGTTTCTTTTTTCACTCTTCTCCTTGTTATTGATACCACAAACCTAGTCTTCTTTACCACCAGCTTTTTTTTGCAATTATTCATGTAAAGCAATTGAAAGCATCATGCATTTATTTCTTTTTTGTTTTTTGTTGAATCTATATTGTATTTGCACTCATTGAAATATTAATATGAATTGCACCCAATAGCAATATACATGAATTAGTATTATGTTTTACTAAGCTTTAGTAGTTCTTTGTAAGATGATACATACATACACACGCTGACAACTACAAAAGTAAAAGACGCATACAATGATTTTTTTTGTATTTACAAACTCTTAAGAAAATACGATGATGAGTGTCTTTTCCATCAGAAGAAAATAGAACTAGCTCATTTCTATATTCAACAATCTTATTATTATAGCATTTGGTAAAAATGTCAAATATAAATGTAGACATAGTATTTAGTGTCAATTATGACAAGATAATTGTACTTCAGTATCATATGCAATGTCGATGGCTTTTTATCAAATCGATATTTTAGCAATATGAAAATTTTTTTTTGTTTTTGTTTTTTTGACAAGATTTATTTTATTATTTTAAACAATTTCTTTTTATAATACAATATGTGATAATGTTTGCAAATTTGATTGAAAAATGAAGAAATAATCATCAATAATATGATAAGAAGTACTTTTTTAGTCCTAATGAATATATCCAACGAGAATATATTTTTATTTTTTCTAACTAAAATAAGCAATACACTTCAGTGTTTTTTTTTATTTAATTGTCGATAGATTGGTAATTTGAATCCATATTTACAACATATGCACTACATAATGATACCTAATTGTGTACTAAAACAACAGTTGCTTTAAAAAACCATATTGTATTATACATCATAGTATGAACGTAACATAAAATTAGTTTGTATGATAAGCTTTTAAAATTAGCAATACTTTTTATGTTATTGTTGTTTTCTCAGGAAATTATATGTGACATATATTGTATTTGATATAGTTTCTATCGAGTAGCAATTAATGCCTAGTTTCAAGCATATTAATTATGCATAAAGTTTATTCAGCATCAAATCTAGAGAGTTCGTTATTACGACCACTTTACTTTCTTATGCATGCTTAAGTATGCCATATACATTCCGTTTTTCCGATAAATTATCACAGGCTTACATTATTTTTTTTGCTGTTGTGCATAATTATATATTAACATATACTGTACATGAAAGAAGTATAATTGCATGTTACTACTATATATACTATTAAATCGAGTAAGTGTGCCGTCTATGTTAATCAGTAGAATGTGTAAGAACAGAATAAACATGGAATAAATAAAATATTAGAATCTAAAAGAATTAATTAAATTCATATTCTTAAGTGTAAAGAAAACTGTTATTAGTCAAACAAGAAATAAAATTATATTTTCAGATTGATTTTTGTATAAATTTTAATAATTTAATTAGTAAATCAATTTCAAACAATTTGTCTATTTATATCAATGATACTATTCCTAACGAGATCAAGCAATACAAAATACATAAAAAATTGTATGAAATCAACAATCAATTTTTTTTTTTTTTTGGTTTCTAAATATCGAAATTTCACAATACTTTATATCGAGATAGATACATATTCAATCAAAAACTAAGGATTGTGTACCTCATTACTGAATGCCTTTCAAACATCGATGTTCGTGAGTTTCATTTCGGTGATTATTTCTTACTTTCATTCTTTTTGAATATTTACCATATATACATACTGCACATATCAGCTCAGGATATCACTGATTGCTTCGGTTATCGAAATGAAGATTGCCGAGAACAGGCATTGCCGATAGTCACATCACCAAAATGCAAATTACCGAATTTCGACGAAGAGCATACTGACCAAACTAGGAACTCTACATCACACTAAATTTCTATTCATTTGATCTAATTACAATAACATCAGTCATTATCATAGTATGAATTATTAAAATCTTAACTGGAATGATTATATATGATTGATCAAGCTAATGAAGTAACGCACATTGGGATTGATATATTTTACACAGAAAAATAATTGAATGAAATGAATCGTTATTGATAGACGTATTATGAATTCGATGTTAATATACAAGAATTGTAATTGACTTTGCTTTGTAGATATGTTATCCAATCACTTTTTTTTTAATGTTTCTACATACTAACAAAGTATGAGAAATGATTTTATTGAACTATATTTAATCATAAATTTAATTAATCTTTTCCGAAAGATTTACAGTAAACTGTCTAATGGAACAAATAACTTTCATATTCTGGCTATTGTTCTTAATCAAATGATATATTAGTATAAGATTGAGAGGCTGATATTTCTTTCTTGACAGCTTTATTAATAAATAAAAACATCAGAAATTGATGTAGATTCCAAACTCTTTTAAATCAAAAATCTACATAATTACTTATAAATAACATACATTAAGATGATCTTATATTTAAATAATGAATCAATTATAATGACAATGAAAATTATTTCATATATTATGATATATTTACATTAGATGCTAGCATTTAATGCTTAATAATATATGAATTTAAAAAAAGAATGGATCGATATTAAAAAAAAAATAAATCATTTATGATTCAACTTCACTATTTTCGGACTTTAAAACAAATGAAGAAAAATCTGTATTACTTAGAGATAGATATATCTATACAAATTTTATTCAACATTCAAACTTTTTGTTTTCTTCTTGGCAATAATACTTTAGTAAAAATATATTGTTTTATTTCATAAATTTTTAAGATAAACTTCAACGCTTACGCCTTTTTGACATCTAAATATAAGTCTATAACTACTTATACAGTACTAAAAAAGACATATTTGTCGTGGAATCTTATAAACAAGCTATTAATAAAAATGCTTCTATAAATAAAGCAAACTACTCATTTAACTCTTTTGATTCTATAGATTCTTTAACATATTTTCATGGTTAAAATATCTAAGTTAATTCTATCCTTTTCCTAATAACAGAAATAAATTCCATAGAAAATATATAATTTCATTATAATCTATTTCATCTATATTGTTCGAATAATCATGCGAATTATTAATCACTATTGATCACAGTTTCTATGAAGAGAATAGCTATGAATCAAATCTGATTTATAATTTATGAAAACTTTTAAAATTTTGAACAGTCGCTTACTTGTGTAAAACACGATCTGAAAGGAGTGTTGAAGTACAGAGGTAAAAATTTAGACTGGCCTTTCCTTCCAGACCATTACAGATATTGTTGATATACGATCAGAGACCATATATCAATAAAATCTCGTTCTAATGTATGAACTATTTCCTTATTGTATTTTTGCAGAAATAAGTATGAATTAATGTGTTGCAAGATAGATAGAATAAAGCAATCTCTTGTGATTAGTAACAATAGTTACATTGTGTTGCATATTTTAATCCCGTAGGGATTGTTTTAATAGCTTTTTATTGCGTATTTATTTGACATGAGTACGTTTTTATTAAACTTTACAACGAATGAAAAATAATACATATTCAGTTAATATTAATGTTAAATAACTATATTAATGTATTTCCTTTTTTTTTTCTCTAGCCTAAAAGTGTTTCTGATATGAAATGATTAAATGAATTTATAGAAATTAAAATAAACAATAGCTGAATACAATATAAAGATGCGAAATTGTCCATATAATATAAATGAAAAAAGAAAATTTATTGATTTTATATCATCAACATCTTTTAAATATAAACTCCATATTTCACTACAATTACTGATGAAACATAATTCAATATAGAATTTCATTAGGAATGATATTTCTCATAAAAACAAAGAATGTCTATGAAGATCATGTGATTTATGAGTCATGTAAAGTTCAACTAAGTACTATTTGAAACTATTTACAACAATATATGTGTAAAATATTCACAATTTTAGTAAATCAATAATTTTTATTTTACAATCTAATTATACATACAAATAGAATTCAACTAAAAAAATTGATCAATCATTCTAATAAATTCATATTAAATTCGGGTAGAAAACTATAAATTTTTATCATGAAATAAAGAAGTTTACATAAAGATAATAATATTATTTAAAATCATATTATTGATATATTAATAAGAACAAAGACGTTGTTCTGACAATTTTATCTATTATTCATACGTTATTCATGTAGGTGGAAACGAAGGATTGCTGTAAGAAATTCCATTCTTTGTCAATTCATCATTTTCTTTTTTTTTCTTCTATTAACTATTCTTTATTACATGATATATATATAAGACAATGTAACTAATGCAAATTCTTGCTTCTTATGAGACTCTCTAAGACTATAATAACTTCCCATATATTTAATAAATAAATTGATTTGTTTTGAAAATACAAATATACTTTGACCACCTAGTGAGTACATACTGAACAATCATTTTTTGAATGTGTTATTTAATCTTTGTTATGTCTGAGAATTATGACTAATTATATATTACTATAAATTAAAATATATATTATGACTAAATGAACTAATTATATGACAATACAATGGTAAATATTTACCTGTATCAAAAAATTTATATATATATTTTTTTTTGTAAAATAGATGACACGAATAAATAAAAATAAAAATAAAAGGAGAGGACAATAATTTATATTTCAATTGAATATAAAGCATCCTGCTGAGTAAGTAAACTATAGAATGTTAATAACATCAGTAAGTAGATTTTGTTTTTTGTAGTTTAAAAAATTATTTCATAAGAAAATATGTCGATTTAATATAATATATTGTTTCTATCAAAGAATGAATCACATTTTATGACTGCTCATTATACATCAAAGATAATTTTCTTTATTATTTTTGTTTTTCTTTATTCATTCATATACTCATTTGTTATAGGGAAAGAAATGTCGTTCATTATTCTGTATAATAAACCAATAATGAATTCGAGTGAATCATATCGTTCATAATTCCTTTTTTTTTTTCTTCATATAAATATATGTAATAATTCTTAGTCACGCTAAGATATTGCATTGCAACATGTAGTCACTATTTGAAAATAGATATGAATTGCTATTTATATATTATTTCGTGAGAAAATATTTTATTGTATGTTTACCGGCGATGAAATTTCCTTTTGGTTATAAATAATCGTTTTATTTAATTTACGTCAATAAATGTAGATTTTGTTTTTCTTTTTTTCTTTAATTATTGTATTTGTATAGTTTTACAACCTGATATTTCAGATCTTTACATCATGTTTATTTTTCAATCCATATTCTTTATTTCACTTCTATTATTAACAAATGCTCAATGGTATATTAAAAAACATTATCAATCACAATTTATGAATTATCCAAATCCAGGTAAAAGAAGTTCATCTGATGAACAATCATTTTTTATTAAAACTGATTGTCAAATACCATATTCTCAACTACATTCATATCAACAAATAGCTACATGGATTTTAATGTGTGGTTCTAAAAAATTATCATTGATAAATAATGAAGATTCAAATAGCTTTGAATTTGAATTATCTTCTACACCAAAATCGATTCTACACAGAAAAAAATCTCCAAATATCATACTACCGTATTATGAAGAGTATGACAATTCATTCAATAAGTATTTAATGGAACGTCGACGACATATTATGAGAAATAAATAGAAATAATTTCAACTCGAAAAAAAAATATATATATGAAAATTTATCATTTACTACACTATTTAATCATACCATCTAAATCTTCTCAAATCTACATGTGCATTTGAATTTTAATAAATAATATGCACAAGCATTTTATGTTTTTTTTGTTGTTGCTGTTGTTATTGAAAAGTAAATATACATATATATATATTTTTTTTTTATTATATATTATTTGAAATTCTGTGTTTTTTACGCATATATTTTATCTTAAAATGTGAACAACGTTAAATAATGTTCATTGATCATCAAACCAGTTATGAGCCAAATCACCATGTGAACCATATATATGATGAAGTAGAATATCATCATTATCATCTTCGGCTGTAAAATAATTTCGTTTACCCCAACCTAAATTTCAAAAAGAATTTATATTAACAAATGAGAATTAAAGTATTAATTTAAAACTTACCAGCTTGTCGTTTTCGTTCAGGATTCTGATGAAATGAATCACCAAGATTGTAACCATTATTTGAATGGAGCCAGTAAGGTTTTCTTAGTTGTGTTGTACGTCCATCAATAGTAGCTTGGCTTAGAATGTAAAAACAAATGTTTAGAATGATAAACCAGAATTTCATTTTGAACTTGTTGTTTGTTAAGAAATCAATGGAATGAACATAGAAATAATGTTGACGAGATGACAAACTTCGAATCAAAAAGAGAAAAAAAAAAAGAAAATCACTGGGTAGGCGGACAAGTCGGTGATTTGAAATACACGCCCCGTCATAATCATTCACCAAGAAAGATAGCGACAGATAATTAGATCAAAAGATCAAAACACCGAATACATTACTGTGATGTTGACATTATGTATATATTTAATATTCTACTTACAATGTTAATATTAAAAAGGCTTCACTTGAAATGTTAATTTTCTGACGAGTTCCATGAAAATTATATATCTATGTGAATGTTGAAGATTTTGTTTTATTTTTTCATCATAGTTTATTCTCTATAATTATTGTCATTTATTCACGTCTGCAAACATATTCATCATGTATTCGCCTTATTTACTTCATTTGTCGATGTCTAAGATGGCTAATCTCTTCTTTTTTTTTTTTTCGTTGACGTCTATTTTATTTTCACAACCGATTGCACATGCATTGGAAAAAAAATGGGAAAATAAAATCACTGTTTACATTAAAAAGAAGAAGAAAAAGAAAACAAAACAATCATTGTTCATTAAACTAATATTGTTCGATAATCATTTGCAATCGAAGCAAAACCAAATGATTTCATTAAATCCATATAATCATCAAAGAGTTTTTCTCCTTTTGTACCATCATCAATACCAAATTGTTTACAACAAATAAATAAACGTATTGCTAATTCAGTTGCACCTTGATTATGTAAAATTTCAATAGCACGACGAAATTGTCCACATGTTATTAATATTAAAGCTGAATTCATTTTTGATGTTTGAGAATAAAGACGAATATATTCTGACCATCGTTTAATAACATCAATATATTCATTTGAATTTGTTTTAAGTCGTAATTTTGCTAACCATATTGAACGTTCCCATTGATTATGATCTTGTAAATATCGACATGCTTCAGCACATAAATCAATTGTACATAATAATTGTACACCTTCATCAACTTTACCATTAGCAATTAAATTAGTTGCAACTAATTTAGTTACAGTATTTTTTGATATTTCATTTGGTTGTTTATTCATTGATGATATAAGACATGCTTTTATTGAATTTAATGCATATGTATCATTATTTGGATCTGTATCAAGTAAAAGTTGTACAGCACGATCAATTTGTTTAAGTGCAATATAAGAATCAATACAATGATTTATTGATGATGATGATGATAAAGATTTAATATCACGACGAATTGTACGTTCTAATTGAATTTGTTCAAATGTTTTTGAATCAAGAAGTAAATCATAAGATGATAAAAGTGATAATGGACGATTAGAATTTTCAATTATTGTACCATATTCATATAGATAATATTCAGTTAAACGCCAAAAATATTGTTCCCATGAATCATTAAAAAGATTAGCAATAAATAAACATCGATCAATTGTTGAATTTGTATTTGTTAAGTAATTTTTCGATTTACTAAAACAAAAAATAATTCATTTAATAATTAAAATTTTTTAAGAAAAACAAAAAAAAAACAAATATAATTTACATATCAATTTTCGAAAGTTCTTTTTCAAGTATTCCATTTAAATTTGTATCTTCACATTTTTTTATTAAATCGTCCAATGATCCATTTGTTATACATAATAAATGTTTTAATAAATTAGCATGACGTGCTGGTAACAAATATGAATAAAATGTTGATTCTAAATATAAATTTTTTTTTTAATCTAAATTCGTACTGATATAACTTTTGATTATAAATATGTTTGATTGAAGTTAACAAAATTATTTGTTTTCATAGTTCTTAAAATAGACTCAATTTCATATCTAAAATAATACATTTTTTTCGATTCTTTTTTTGTAAATTATAGTTTTCTTTAATTTTTCAATTTAAATATGATTCGAAATTTGTATCATTGATATTTATGATAGGGGTTTAATAAAATATTAAATCGTTATGAAAAAGAATCTCAATCTATTAGATTTCTTAATTGAATTGTGAATAAGTTCCTATGAAGTTGAAAAAGATCTTTTATATGAAAATTTTGAAATTCTGAATGATCTAAGAAGATTTATTTCTATAGCCTTCATATAGTACAGAATTAATTAGGATAGTTAAATTTTCTGCGCTAGATTTTATATCTTCAAAATATTTAACATACGTTGAATTGTTTGGAATTCAAGTGAACTTGATGAATCAACTAAATTCATTTCATATATTCTTAAACAATGATCAGAACATGCTAAAATAATTTTATCCGAACTTGCCCATTCACCATCAGTAACTTGAATTGTATCACGTGGATATTTTAATGTACTGATACGATCTCTCTATTATATAAATTATTTATATTTTTATATACAAAAATATATATATTGAAAAGAAAAAAGACAAAAGAAAAGACAACATACATCTCGTATATCCCATATATCGACACCATCATTAAATAGAATGAATGCACGAAAATTACCTTTACCAGGTGCAAAACGAACTTTACGAATAGGACTTCGTCTTGTATTAAATGTTCTTATTAATGCAAAAAAAAGAATTTTTTATTTATTATTGAAAAAAAAAAATTTCTTACTTGCTCTGTTTAAGTTTTATATTAAATATTTGTATGACACCATCGATATCTCCTGAAAGAAGATAATCACCTTTTAATACTAAAAACAAACAAAAACACAAATTTTTTTTATTAAAAATGAAAGAAAAAAAAAATCAACGTGAATTTACCTAAATCAGTTGCAGCTGATGATGAATGCTAAAATTAAAAACAAACAACAAGATTTAAAAAAATAAATGAAATTGATTTTTAAATACATCAGGTGGAACAGTTGCAACTTCTTTAATTGTTCTTCCTTCGACGTAAAAATGATATAATAAATTATATTCATCAGTAAATATAAAATTTTCACGTGCTGTTTTTTTTTCATGATCACTTAAAGCATTTCTATCAAAAAAGATTATTGATTTATAAAATAGAATACGCCTTTTTTTTCATACTCAGCTTCCTTTGAAGTTCGATTAGTATCATGTTCAGATTCACCACTACTAAGTGATCTTGTAGCAACTAATGTATTAGATTCTCCGGATGATCTTTTCATAACTAAAACATTGGGTGACCAATCCTAAAATAATGAAAATATTAACAAAAAAATAAAAATTTTTTTTTCTTGAAATTTATAATACTAATGCTAAAATTCTTGGACATTTTTTTGGTAATCGTCGAATTAGTGTAAATGATTTAAGATCCCATAATTCAAATGGTTGATCACGAAAAAGTATAATTAAATAATTTCTTTTAAAAACAAAAATAAAAAAAGAATAAATATTTTAAAATTATATTTATTTAAAATGCACTAACTTTGACTGAGAAACTTTTAAACTTTCAATTGGTGATTCTTCATGTGTTACTTCAGATCGAAATGATTCTTGTCTTCCTATATAAAACAAAATCAATTATTTATTATATATTTTAATAATAATAAAATAACCTGATTGAAAATCGATCATACATATTTCATTACGAACTGTTGAACGACCATCACCAGGTGTTTGATATGCCCAAGAAAGAATTATTTGAGAAGATAACCACAATAATCCACTATAAAAGCAAATTATTTCGTTTAACTTTTGTTTTAATTGAACTTTTGTCTATCGTCTGGTATATGTATTTAGCTGTATTCTGTAGAAATCTGATATAACCTCTAGTGCAAAAGTCTTGGTACAAAATATTCACTCACTTAAAACCAACTTGTTAGATCTAGAAGTAGAAGTTTTCTCTATTTTCGAATATATGTTCCAATTTTTCTTATGGAATAAAATTGAACAAACGCAAATAAATTTTGTGAAAAAGTTCAAAATTGTATCTGTACAAAGCAAAATAGCAGTTTTTGCATAGTTCTTAATTTACATCGTTTTTATCTTGGAACAATGAAATCTCATGAACTTGTTTCTATGGAAATCAATATTCGCTATAATGAAAAAAATTCGATGATAATTATTCAATCTTATCTCAGAAGAAAATTCTGAACAAATATTTTCTACTAAGACTTTCGTATTATAGATTATTTAATTTCTATCAGTTAATATAAAATCACAATACATACCGAACAGTACATGAATGAACAGCTAATTGTCGTTGAATAGTTCCATCCATAAGATCAAAAATAACAATATCTCCATTTGTACAACCTAAAAATTATTCTTGAAATAATAAAAATTTGATCTTGAATTTTTTCTCTTCATTACCAACAGCTAGCAATGGTTGCCATTCTTTCCAATTTTTAGCAGTCATTGGTGGACACATATTTATTACATATGGACCATGTGGAGCAGAAAACATGACTCCACCTAATGGAATACGATTACCAATATTTCCTTCATTATTTATTTCATTATTTGATAATGTTGAAAACATTTTCTGATCAATATTCCAAAATAAAACTTTTCCATCGGTAAGAATAAGACTTATAGATGTTTCATCTTTAGGTGATACAGAAAATGAACAAATACGTGTATTTTTTACTAAACGAAATGGATCAGAATAATAAATAAGATCATAAGTTAAATCAATAACAAAATCATTTAATAAACCTAAAAACAAAAAAGAAAAGATTAAAACAAGAAAAAAAAAAGAATTCTTAAGTATACAATTTGATGATTGAAGTGCTGTTATAGTGCTATTTTCTAAATGTCTATTTCGTATACTTATTGTTCCACTTTCATGAAAACATATAAATGTATCATGTAGAGAACAACCATAAATCTATTCAAAAAGAAAAAAACTTTAAATTTGAATAACAAATAAGAAAAAAAAAACAAACTTTATAAAATGCTGCTGAACCTTTTTCACATAGAATATTTCCAACAGTTTGTAAAATTTGTAAATCAAATATTAATATTTCACGTGGATAAACAATTAATATTAAATGACGATGTATTGGATGAAATAAAATTTGTATACAATCAGTTAAACTAACAATAGATAATGATGATTGATCATCTTGTCTAAAGACAAAAAAAAAAAGAAAAGTTTTTTTATTATTAAAAAATTAAATATTTACTTTGAATATTCATTTCCTTCCATAATTGTTTTAAGACGTGTTGTTAATTGACTACTTGCTGACGATATTGAAGTCATCGATGGTGATCGATTATAATTATTAGGCATTGGATTTTGTTGTTTATTATTATTTGTATTATTATTATTAGTATTATTATTATTTGTATTTGATATATAAAATCTTCGATTTTGACCACTTGGAGTATTTATAGGTGAAAAATCTTCAATAAATGTTAAACTTGATTGACCAAGTACTAAAAGCAAAAAAAAACAAATTTTATAGTGTTTTTTTTTGTTTTTTTAATTAAAAATTTTATTTACAAATTGCTCGTTGATGATTAAATGGATCTTGAATAATTTGTAAAAATGATTCTGTATCTCGTTGTCGTTCATGATCATAAATAATACGCCAAATTTTTGTACCTGTTTGTGCATTCCATAATATTACAATATTAGGTGAATAAATTACAAGTAAAAGTTGTGAATTATCATCAGTTAAATACCATATCATATCTAAACAAAAAAAAAATCAAGAAATAAATTCTTAATTAGAGAGAAAACAAAAAAAAAATTATTTATAAAAACCAGATATTAATTTATTTCCATCACGAAATTCAGTTTGTACTGAAGATTTATAAACATCCCAAATTAAAATATTTCCAGATGAATCTGCACTAGCTAATTTTAAACTGTATGGATCATCTATATTATGATAAAATTTATCCGGACACCATTTGACCTTTAAAAAAAACAATACTTATTAATTATAATAAATATCATTTTAAATACTTTAATAATTGGTTCATAATATTTTTCCATACATTGAAGAACCTATAAAATGCTTAATAGTATAAACAACTTTTTTTTCAGAGAAAAACAATCCAATACTCGAAATGATTGTGTATCAAGTACAACAACAGTTGATTGACAGCCATATGCAAGAAGACCATGATAATTCCAATCAATAGCATCTTTATTTGCATTATTTAATGCTCCGGGAATAATACGAGATACGAGATTCATTGTTTTCTTTTTCTTTTGGTATTATTTCTATTTTAACTGTATTAGAAAAAGGAACATGCTTGAAAAAAAAATCTATAATCAATGAATCACACCCATCCAATTAGATTTTGAGCGCTATGTTCGCAGAGATAATCATTTGAAAAATTTCTCACATTTCATATTTTTTTAACATGGCTCTAACAAGGAAAAGTCGAACTGCTATGGATGTACTTAAATCTAATATTGAATACATTTCAACATATTCAAAAAAAATTGATGACATGCTCAGTAAAAAAAAAAAACAAATCTTTTCTATAAATATTTTTTTGATTTTTTTAAAGATGGTGGTATTCGTATAGGTGTTATAACAGAACTATGTGGAAATCCAGGAAGTGGAAAATCAAATTTATGGTTTGTTTAATAAATTATTTATTTAATTAAATTGATATTTTTTAATTTAAAATTAGTACTCAATTATGTATTTCAGTACAAATGAAATATGGGATTACATCAAATGAGACTGGAACAGTAATTTATATTGATACAGAAGGAAGTTTTGTACCTATACGATTACAAAATATGGCAATGGCTGCTGAAAATCATTATAAAAATGAAAATAAAAATTCTATAAATACAAATTCAATTGAACAACTATTAAAAAATGTAACATATTTTCGTTGTATAAATGTAGCAGAATTAATTGCTTGTCTTATTCAATTAAAACAAATTATGACACCAGAACGTAATGTTAAATTAATTATTCTTGATAGTCTTGCACATCCTATTCGAAGTATTATTGATGGTGATCATTTAACTCGTCATAAATATATAGTTCGAATTGTTACAATGTTACAAAAATTAGCTTCAGAAAATAATTGTGCTGTAAGTTTAGATTATCATATGAAATAAATATAATTCAATTTTATTAGGTTGTTATTGTTAATCATATGATAGCAAAAGTTGAATCACAAAAAAATGAAGCATATTGTGCTCCAGGTAGTTTAAGTTCACAGAAGAAAAATATATATACACACGATCTATCATAAAAAATTGAAATATCTCCGCTTTGGTTTAGTTGAATCAACTGATATTTTTGTTAGTCGTAGAAGCTTATATACGATTAACGTAAACAAATATTTACTGTTAAGTTATATTTTTGACCGTACTAAAGAAATTTCATCTGTTTTCAAGTATGAAAAATACATATGTAGCATTTCATAGATAATTTTCGGTTGTCATCTAAGAGAATAAGAAGAACTCAAAACAAACTTTATGAATGATACTATATCGATGCACACAGAACAAGTTTTCAAAACTAGTTAGTTTAAATGCTAAAATTCGTATTCCATAAGTAAAATGCACAATAGCACCCATTTTGGACCAAATAGAACCCGTCCAATTCACCCGAATCTGGAGGTTTTCTGTTAACCGGATCCAAAAATTTTGGAACCGACGTGTTCTATCGCCAAAGCACCAACTTCTTTGCAAAAAATAATGTCCTATGTTTGAATATTCAAAGTTTTGTAACTGTTTTTTGAACACATTTTATTATTCTCTTAGATGACTACTGGAAATTATTCATGAAATGCTTCATATATATTTTTCTTAATTGATAATAGGTAAAGTTGCTTTCATCATACGAACAATAATACTTAATAGTAATATTTGCTACTCTTGTTCGTATATAAGCTTCTACGACTAACCCAAAAAAAAAATCAGTCCATTCAAGTAAATTAAAGCGAAAATATTTCATTTTCTCGTCATAACACTATTTATGAAACATCCTGTAAGAATTTCGTTTGATATTTAAATAGCTCTTGGTGATGCATTTGGTCATATGTCTCAATTACGACTACAACTTTCATGGAAAATGAATAAACGAGAAGCTCGTGTTCTTAAATCACCTCATATAGCAGAACTATCAACATTTTTTCAAATAACTGTAAGTATAGATTTAAATTAATTGGTTTTCGATAAATGATCTTTATGCTTATCTAGGATGGTTCTTAAATATTTTTATGATAAAAAATTTAATTATCTTCATTCTACTCGAACATGTTGAGCTCATCTTTTCCTCAATGATAGAGGAGTATTCAAAGTTTCTTTTCGTATAAGAAAATCACCAATGAATGCTGTTTTCAATTGTTGATATTTACCTTGATATTTAATATATAACCTTTCATGGGTCCAAAAAAGAGAAAAAAATGCAGAATAGTTTATGCATATTTTTATAATGTAAATGTTGCATAGCAACGAGAAAAGCCAAGTTAACCTTTATTCAAAAGGTTCAAATGATGCAAATGCTCAAAATGATGTCCATCAGCATCATTGCACCGTTGCAGTCTTCCAGGATGTGAATGTTAGAGAATAGAAGAAACACATCCGACAATTGCAAGTTGTGTTCATTAACGATTGTCTTATACACAAAAAAAAAACTTTGAAAATTCTTCTATCATCAATGAAAAGATTAATCCAATACCTCTAAGTAGAGTGAAATTATTCAAATTTTTATTGTAAAAATATTTATGATCCACTCTGTATACAAGAACTTATCAATAAATTATATTTAGGATGATGGTATTCGTGACATAGATGAAACTGAATCAATGGATGATAGTGATTATAATTCAGCATCACAAGAAAATATACATGCAATTTCAAATATGTAATCAACATGGGGATGTAGCTCATATGGTAGAGCGCTCGCTTAGCATGCGAGAGGTATTGGGATCGATGCCCAACTTCTCCAGTTGTCTTTTTTTTCTCTTGTTCTTTTCTCTCGCCATATATATCAGTAAAATTATTCAGATAATTTTTATTTTATTTTCACTAAAACGAAAAAACAAAAACTTTAAATGACAACTATAAGATAGCATTAATCGCTTGTTCTCTCTTTTATTTAAATAACAATAAACCAGTAAAGATTAAGTTTAAATTATTTTAATGTTCTTTAATATATATGATAATAAAAATGTTTATTTTCTTTGATTAAACATATTCATATTTATCGACAATGAGTTGCGATTCACTTGAATATGTAACTGATTTACGATTGTCAACAGACTTAACATCAGCAACCTAAAATAAAAATTTCATCGTAAAAAAAATAATCAAATGTTTATATTATTTTTTTTTTTTGGCTTTACTTTAATATCACAATATCCTGTTTCAGCAACAAAATCGACTTGAATTGGAAAAAAATCAGCTGATTTTCCTCGAATTGAAAACTCTAATGCTCCTTCAGAATTTGATTGATCAATAACAGGTAATGTCCATATTAATGTTGTTTTTCGATTATCAAATTGATAATCACCATCAATTTTTCCAATAACTGGAGTTTGTCCACCACTCCTTTAAGAAAATCAAATTCAAAAGAAAAATTTTTTTTTTCTTTCTTTTCATAGAATTATTCTTACGGTAATGGTACACTTATTTGAACATCTTTTAAAACGAGATTTCTATTTTGTAATTCATATTCAATATTAACATCACAACCACCATTTGGTGTTTCATTTGGCCAACAATTAACTATAAATAAAGTTTAAAAAAAAAAAAAAAATTTGAAAATTCTTTTTTACTTGTAAGTGGAATTTCTTTGGAATCAGTTGATGTATAACGCCATTTAAGTACCCCAACTTCTTGATTAACTGGAAATGGTCTATCTGCATTTTTTAAACCAATTAATGATTCATTAGTAAATAATTTCTTATCAATATTTGGATGTGTCTAGAAAAAGAAAATTGAATTTGATTTCGAAAAAAAAAGTATCATCTCGTTCGTTGGTAGCTTTTTCTTCTTTTGATAGATCGCAATCTAATACTTAAGCATTTGGTTGACAAGTTAAAGCTTAATTAATTTAACACATCATCAGTATTCATTATTGTTTAGAATTTGATAGGGCACAGTAAAAGTGAATTACTACTAGTGTTTTACAGATGACGATCCTAACGGATGAGGATGTAGGACAGGATTCGAAATGGGCCCTCAACCCATCTTAGAGAGAGTTTTTGTCAAAATTTCCTACATGGATTTTGCACCTTGCAATAGATAACAATTAGAAATCTACGTTATGCAAATGTTTTGGAAGTTTTATTTATCCAATAAATAATAGCAGAGCATTTATTTGGTTCAATTACATTTTTTCTCTACACACAAGGCCAAATGCACTATCAAGTGCATTAAATGGCATGAATGTTACTGATATAGAACAGTGTAACAAGAAAAAGTGACCGATCGGATTGATCATTGGGCATTTTAATTGTGAAAGCTTATGTTGATAAATAATAGTCTTCAAGAAGTTGAAGTACTCACGAATGTATCTTAGTTTTTCGGTTCAATAAGTAATTTAACTTATCTCTCCTGGTGTTTTTTTCAGGTATTAAAATTATACAACTTTATTCAACTCGTGATCACTATAAGAAAGAAATATGCTTTTAATAGTGTCATTCTAAGCTGGACTGGGCTATCAAAAAGTAGTCCGACTTCGAGACTTGGTATGGTGTCTGTGTTAAGAAGAGACCAACACTCACACATATACCTGTTCTTGTTCAACGTTATTATTTAAAAATAAATAAAAATATTTCTATTAACTATATTTCCATGTTAGACCTTAATAAGACTGAACCCAAAAAAGCACGCAAGAAAAAAGCCTAAAATTTTTACTTGTAATTGAATATTTCTTGATTCCTTATTGTCAACAGCAACAAGAATACGTCCATATTGTTCAGATTTAACACGTAACATAATCATTCCATGAACTTCTAAATTTTCTAAGCCACCATCACGACCACAACGTACAGTTAATTTTTCTTCTTGTTTTAAATGAATTCTAAAGAAAAATAAAAAGTTTTTCAAATGAATAAACTTTTTCTTATAATACTTACTCTCCTTTTTCAGTGTCTGGTAAAGATATACTTTGTGTTTTATGTTTAGTAACTGCTCCACCAGCACCTGTTATTACCGGAACAGTATTTGCAACAATTTCACCTTCCGATTTAAGTTGGTCAACAAATGTTTCAACATTTTTTCCTTTTGTACCTAATTTCATTGCTTTTCCTGTTGTACTTGGACGAATAGTCGATCTATTAAAAAAAAAAAAAAACAAACAAGTAATTTCATTATTGACTATTTCTCTTATGTTAAATGAAAACAAAAATCAATACATACGTTGTATTATTTGTTGAATAAGTTACTGGTGTTGGCGTTATATCCGGTGTTTTATCCGCTGATGAACTACTATACATATTTGATGATATACCAGTTGAACTTCCATAGGATTTTGATCCACCAGCAGCACGCTGTGCACGTTTTTGTAAATCAAGTTCTTTTGCTCTTTGTTTCATTCGATCTTTTGCTTCACGTTCTTGACACTAAATAAATAAAAAGATCTTTGTTTATTTCATTATAAGAAGAAGAAAAAAAGAAATCAAAACCTGTCTCATAGCATCATGCACACGTTCATCATGTGAATCCATTTCAGTATATGTACGAATTTGTGCTAAATTAACATTTTCTTTATAACCTAATGCAACAATTTCATCAAATGCAGCTAATAATTCAAAAGCATGTTCAAAGACTTCTTTTTCATCAACCGTTTTACAATATTCTGGAATCTGTAAAGAAAAAGGATAAAAATTTAATTTTTTTTTCTTTTTATAATTTAATAAATAACTACCACTCGAGAAAAAAGTCTTAAAGTTTCAAGATCTTCAAGTATATTGCTTGCTTTTGTAGTTAATAAAACCATATAGAGTTTATCAAATGGTTGATAAACATAACGAACAGTATCCGTTTCAACAAATGTATGTTGTTTACCGGCACCAATTAATTTTGGAAATGAAGCAAGTAAACCTTCAATACGTGATCGAGTCATTTCCACAAATTGTCGTGAGACAAGTGCTATTGAAAAATTCAAAAAACCAAGATTTCATAGAGCAAAAAAAAACAAATTATAGAAAATTTACGTTTGCCTGCTTTAGTACAAATTGATGCAGCGAGTAAGACCATGATGATTGAATAATCTAAAATATGTATATGTATATCACATTAAAAAACAAAAAAAAAGAGTCGCGTTGGCATGTTTATTATTGTTGTTTTTTTTACTTCAATCTATCGGTCGACTTCAGGTATTCGAGAAAGAATAAGCCAATCAGCAACGAGTCAATAGTCAATCCATTCCATCCATCTAACTAAAGGATGATAAAAACTATTGGCTACATTTTTTTTCTTTTCCATTTTAACCATGCAAATACAAAAATCTTTTGATCATTTAATAATTGTATTAATAAAGTTCGACAAATAATTTCGAGTATTTTAATATGATATTCCAAACAACGAATAAAAAATATTTAGAATGATAATAGGGATGCGTCAATTCCTAGAATATGATGTCAAGGATGACATGTTTTCCTTGTTAAGAAGGTAATCCCCTGCTACTTGTTTATATCAGTCATAATCATTTTTTTGCTCTACCTGAAGCAGTACTCGAAATTCATGAAATGCAAAATAAAGGTTTCAGAATTGATTGAAAATTCGCATTTTTTAGTTTTTTTTAAATAGTTTCATGCAATTTTGAGACCTGCGTTTTGCATTTGACAAAATCTAAGAATAGTTTCGGGAAGAGATTTCAAAACTGATCACAATTGCCATGAAGAATCAGTAGGAGTCTGATAATGCTCAATGCTGTGCATGTGTTTTTGCAAGCGAGAATAAACTATTTCGTTGAATTTCTAATCGAAGATTAGAATATTTCTAGTATTGAGAATTACTGGATTTCTAATGATTCTTCATGCCAGTTGTGATCAGTTTTGAAAGCTCTTTCCACATCTATTTTTAGGTTTTGTCTAATGCAAAAATACAGGTCTTAAAATCAATAAAATTATGAAAAGAAACTAAAAATGCAAATTTTCAATCAATTCTGAAACCTTCGTCTTACATTTCATGAATTTTAATTATAGCTTCACATAGATCAGAAAAAGAATTAATCATAGTTAATATAAACAATCTACAGAAATTACATTCTTCATAAGGAAAAAACTATCATCTTTAACATCACATTCTAGGATTTATTGGATCCATAAATAAAAATGATGAAAAACAAAAATGATAAAATATAATAAAGAATTTCTCAACGACAATAGGATTTCATTTCAATTAATATGAATCTTTTCTTAACTGACATTATTTTATTCAATGTTAAACTCGTTTTTCAAAAAAAGAGTAGAACAGTAAAAAAATTCCATTCAGAATAAATACGATGATATGGAGTACGTTGCTTTATTGCTAAAGCTTGTCACATTGTTAGAGTACTTTTCAATAATTCGATAACCCTATTTTTCATTAGATTTTTAACAAAAGCTATTAAAGCCTTTCACACATTAGAAGGTTTCCTCTGAAAATCGGTTTTTTAATATAAATAATGTCTGCAGCTTATTGATTGTTTTAATATTTGTTTGCAATAATATCGAAATGCAGTATGAAGAATACTATTGAAAAAAATGTGTTTCTCTATTGAAAACATATTATAAAGTCACTCTAGTGCTCTTTTGCAGTATAATCTGAAAAAAATTCTTTAGATTCTCTTAATGAGAAAAACATTCCTATGGTCATAGGATCTAATCGGCGCTGTACGCGCTCACACGAGTCATTCATGAAGATATCTTTCTGAAATAGGAACATATTCAGTAAAATCCCGTTGTGTATTAATTAAAAGGTCTCTTCGCCTTTGCATTCTCTTTCTAGAAATTCAGAAACGTTTTTATCATAAAGCTGTGCATTGATAATTGAAGAAAGCATACCTTCAGATGTACAGTTCCAGATTTATTCTATGAAGTGGTCATTCTGAGTCTGCGAACGTATTCATTTTCGTAAAAAGATCTAGAGACATTTTTCGAAACACACACAAAGAAACAAGACACTGAATGTATATTCAGCTGCTGTTTTTTTAAAATTGTTTCTTTGCAGACAACTAATAGTACATTTCACTTTGAATGAATACAATATAAATCATTCAAAGGTTAATATAAACGACTGACTTTGATAAATTTAACAAAAACAAATTAATTTTCTTTTTTTTTCAATTATTTAGCTTTCAAGAAGGTTAAATGTTGCTAACAATAAATCTTATCATTTAGAAAAAATAGTGCTACGTGATCATATGTCAAGATGCTGGGATATGTTGACTGTATTGTTCTGAGAACATTCTTCTTACCAACGATTGCCTCCCATTTTTTTTACAGGATATTATGTGTCTCTTTATCATTCTACGTATGTAGGACAAGTGAAATAAACTCGGTTACTAACGATGTACGGGGTGAAAATGAGTTGAAATTAAGAATTGTCGGCGAGACTATCAAAAAATATAACTTTCTTGAAGAACTTCATAGAAAACCCTGGGTCTTCTAATGTGTCAAGAGCTTTGGGAAATGCTTCTATAGTTAATGAAAGTGCAACAATTTTCGATGCTAATTCAATATTTATATTTAACCTAATTCTAAAGAAGATTAGAATACAATTTTCATAAGAGATATGAATGCAAACCATTATCCAGACAAACAAGACTTGGTTTAACAAATTCATTTCCTGAGAAGATAATCACTAATGAGAATGCTCCATAGAATGAGTATAGCTTAGATCTCACATTGTTAGTTTTGAGATGGGTGTGGGGGTGCCTGAAGAGAAGATCCGCATACCCACACCGACACTCACACTCATACAAATAACACGCCCTCAATGATGTCTTGTTCTAATATATGCACCACTTCTATGTTGCATTTGTGAAGAATAAAATCAAAGGATGGTGAAGAAATGTGTCCTAAAATAGATAGAATAAAGCAATCTTCTTGTGATTAGTAATAACATTTACATTGTGTTTCACATTTTAATCTTCCAGAGATTGTGCTAAAAGCGTGTTTAAACTAATTCTTTTTGTTTAGGTGATCATTTTGTTACAAGAAAAACTACTCGATCTGTTGCTAAAATTTATCTTAATCAACATCAATCACTTGAACTCGATCATTGAATTCAACACGTGATTGAGAACATCCACGAGGTTATATTGAAGCTATGTGGTTAATGTTACAACAAGAGACACTAGAAGAATTTGTTTGCTACAGGTAGAATATTTTATTTTTGTATGAATAAATTGAAGAATAAATTTTATATTGTTAAGATGAAATAAATAGCGTTCGAGAAGCTGCTGAAGCAGAATTTCAGAAAATTTGAAAAGAAATTGTGTAAGTTTATTATTTCTTTTTTGAAATTATTGATTGACTGAAAAAAAGAAATTTTAATAGATGGGGGAGGTGAAGGTGTAAAAGAAATTGGCAAAGAAAAAATACTGGTATTGTTCGTGTTACAGTTAATGAAAAATATTTTCGACCAACGGAAGTTGTAAGTTTGAAAAAGAAAATTTATTTAGAGTAGAAATTACTTTTTCTTTTTTTCTATTACAGGATCTTTCAATTAATAATCCGAAAAAAGTTGAAGAAAATCTTAAATGGAAACCAAAAATGACTTTTAAAGTATGTCGAAAGAAAGTTTTCAATTAAATTTTCAAATATGCTTTCTGTTAAATAGAAATTAGTTAAAGAAATGGTTGCAGCTGATATTGAACTTATGCGAAAAGATCCAACAGCTTAATTCAAATAACATTCCAATTGTGATACTAACTATAGTTTTTGCAGCCTTTTTTTTCGAGACTTTTTTTCTTAGGTAATATGTGATTTGCAATGGGGTTATAAATGACATTCCTTTATTTATTTCTTTTTCCATGAACTTTTTGTATTCATAATCTCATTTTATTCTTGTTGATTCTTTTAACCACCTTATTATTCTTACTGTTGGATCACATTAAAAAAAAAAAATATTTCTTAGATATGTGAACTGTTTTAAAGTTTGTAAAATGATGGAAAATTGTTTAATACATTTATACACAATAAGCTTGAATCAATAATGTTCAATCTATTTAGTTTATGAAAATGAAAAAAAAACCAAGTATTGAAATCGACAAGCTTCGTCTGAACAGATACACAAGTTTAATATTCATAAGAAACAAATCTTGATTGAAAATTATTTAAGGTATTGCGAGAAAAAAAAATCGATCAAATTGAATCAATCAAAAATAGAGGACAATTCTTTGCCACTACTTTCGAAAATTTTGTTATGTATGAACATATACAGAATAATCTGTATAAGGAGAATTGTTGAAACAATGTGAATATATCAGAGTTCAACGATAATGAACAAAAGTACTTTTACACTTCATATATTACATTAATTTTGTCATTGCCGGGCGGTGCATCATTCACGTTTCCCTGTCCACCTTTGTGCGATGCATTATGCACGTTTCTGGATTGGTCGCGATCGGATGTATTGTTTGGTGTTGTGAATTTGCTGTGATGCGATTTACTATTTGCGCTTGCATTTTGGTGAGGACGCTGTACATTGTTCGATGTTGTGGATTGGCCGTGATACGATGCATTACGGGCGTTTCTGAATGGGTCGCGATCGGATGTATTGTTCAACGCTGTGGATTGGCCGTAATGCGATGTACTATTCGTACCTACATTTTGGCTAGGACGCGATGTACCAGTTCCGTCTGGTTTCGAATCTAAAGACATTTTAATATTCCCACTGGTTTGACGGGTGTGAGTGTCCGTGTCGAGAAAACCTATAGCGTGATTCAGACCTTACACCCACACATTCACATCCACACTCGTGCTCAACATTCTCGTGCTGAACTTTCTGCGTGCTTATTAGTTCCGTGCTCATCGATCATCAAACTGCAGGCCCTGGTAAATATATTCGAGAGCCTTTCGTCAATAACTCTAAGTCTCATGACTACTGAACACGATAACATTGATATTCCTCAATAATTTTCTCTTCGATTTTGTTCATAAAAATTTTAATGTTTGATTTTTTCCTTTTCTATGAACCTTTTTATTCGATCGTTTGCTTTGATCTGTCATAACTGACGAATTGAAAAATTTGCTATTCATCGAAGCATCATTCAATATTTCGATGTGGCTGAGTGTGGATGGAGAGCAGACATATGCACATCTATCCACAGCCACACTCTCCTTTTAGTTTAAGAGTCTATAGGGATTATCAAATATCGAAACTATAGACCATGTATGTGAAAACACGAACTTGATTCCATAATATTCAAAAGCATGAATAGGATCTATTCTTAATCAAAAACTGTCGACAACATCTCTTACTTTCTTAGAATCAACATATAACTTATAAGACTTGTTTTTGTACTCAAACAGTACCAATCAAAAACATGCCGTTCTGTTAGTTTAACAAGATTAAAAGAGAAAACTAATTTCGGATACGTTTCAATACAAAGCCTTGTCAAACTTTTCCATGTTAACTAATGAAACGAAACCGTGCTCTCAGAATTGCTAACTAGTTTTTCTAAAGAATGCATTAGTTTTTATTCTAATGTTTAAAATATCTTGAAGAGAGTTTTATCCGGATTTGGTTGTTACCAATCAAAAAAAAGGTGCGTCATTTTGTTTTCATGTTCATACAAACACCGCAATGTACAAATACACAAAGAAATAACTTCAAGTTTTCGAATGACATACTTAGGAGCAGTAACTGAATATTCTGTTTAGATCGACTCTGATAATGGAGAATTAGATCAAATCTTAAAAGAAAATATTCTAACCTTGACTATTATTTATTACTAAGCAGACTTTGTCTGTGAGAGAGCTTGCTCGATATGGCAATTGAAAACCAGCTGTTTGTAAGTTCACAGCACTGGCAACATTCTTCATTATTTCTTCGATATCTGTATTGGATGTTACAATCCATTTTAACAAATTTTCCATAAAACTACCATTTCTGCCGTTTTGAGTTTCATCTTGTACCGTTTTACCCGGAGCACAAGCAAACACGATGAGAGATTTTGGTGGTGGATGGATAGGTGACAGACCTTGATTTTCATTGGTTGCTCGAGTTCTTATTAATTTTCTGCAACAATCAAATATATAGATTGCTGTACGACATAATTTATCGTCTATTTTCTTCATTATGTATTGTACATTGATCGCATGATCCGTAATATAGTGACGTTCATGTCTTCGATAATCATAATCATAATCTGATGGTAACAAATAATTCTGATCTTTACTTTGTTTACCATGACCAGCAAAATAAAATAATACCAATTCATCATGTTGAATTCTCTCAGCAAATTCATCTATTACATTGTAGAATTTACTATAATGGCAATCCAGTTCTAAGGTTATGTCAAAACCAATACATTGAAGAGTTGCACTTAAATCTTCAGCATCATTTATGCAGTACTGTAATGGATCACGTGGGTATGTATTGATACCGATGATTAGTGCACGCTTTCGTTGGTAAACAGCAGATGATGTCATTAGATCTAAAATATGTCAGAAAGTATAGTAACAAGGAAACATTGTGTTTTTCGATACATTCGATGAATTGTTCCTTTAGTTTGCTTTATTATTATATGACTAATTGATCGTATGTTTGGCAAACATTTTCTGTAGAACATTTTTTCCCCTACCATTCAATATTCTAACATCTTTAAAAATGATCTGTTATTTGATCCATACTATCCTTTAGAAGAAGCCATCAATAAAAAAATGTGTTAAAATGCAGATGTCATGAATTTTATGTTTTGCGTTTGCTTTGCGTGCAAAACTTTTTGTTTTTCAGTTCTGACGGCGCTGACATGAATCAACATAGTTGTTGTCATCATAGTGTTGTAAAATTTTCAGATGCTGCTCAAAAATATAACAGAAGTAAAATATTTCTTTGTTTTGTTCTTTTCTGTTTTAAATACCCGTCTCATATAAGCAACAAAAGTAAAAAATAATAATAATATTTATGCCAATGGCTAATAGAGTCGGATTTTTCACATTCAATAACATTAAAAGTTCAAACAAAATCGCTTTTTCTCTATTACGAAGACTGAACATGGGTGTGGTGAGCGCGTCCATGTATACGTGGGCCTTTCTGTTACTTTGACTCACAGCCACAGCCATGCATCTACACTTCAATTTGAAGATTTGTCCTGTCGCCTTAACGTATACATGAGCGATCTGAAAGTATTTCTTGTTGCCCTAACACGTGGACCAATCGAATGAAACTTCATTTTGTCATTCTTACGTATGAATAGGCCTTGCGAAGCCTTTTGCCGTCCAACTTATGCAGTGGTCTGTAAGCTGAAACTTTTCATCCTCATCCTGACATATCGATGGGTGATCTGAAAGTAACTCCCATTGCTCTAATTCATGAATCGATGTCTTAAGGCTTTTCTCCCTTTTTTTTCACACATTCCTTTGTCACCTGAGACTTCCCAGTCACGCAAGTACATGGATGGATAACCTTCTGTCTTTCCAGTTTCTCAGACATATTACCACGCGTTGTTTGAAGCTTCTTGCTGTTCTGTGAACACATTGATCAGCATGTTGACAGGTTTTGTCATCCCTCTGACGAGTTTATGTGTAGTTTCTCGTGTGTTACTTTCAGTTTTATGTATCCATTCGTGATCCGAAACTCTTCGTGGTGAGCCAGATATCTTGACGAATAGCCTAGGGCATCCTGTCATCTCTCTTAAGAGTCCGTATGAAATTTAAGCATGTCTATCTGACTCCGAAGCATACCTGTATGACCGGGAAGTTTTCGTCTGCATTTCACTGAAGGAATGGGTGGCTAGCAGTTTGTATTCCCTAACTCTTGGTAATTCGTGTGCCATAGGGAGCTTGCAGTCCTTATCCTGACCGATTGCTCTGCTGCACATAGTGTCTCATTCTCATTTCTGTGAATAACTGTGTTGCTCGATGCTTTTTGGTGTCCTTTCTAGGGGGTATTCTGTCACCGGGAATTGTCCAACATCAACTTGGCAAATTGATGGAAGACCCTAGCTTTTGTACATGGACGCTGACGTATAGACTTAGGACTCACAGTGTTTCGATCTCAGTTTTGCTTATTATTCAATGACCTGAAGGTGTTTCGTCTTCACTATGACATATCCTTCTGTGGTGTGAAATAGTTGGCCCTCAATATTGCACATTACTGTGAGAGGCAAAACTTGCTCAGCTAACTTGATGACACTACCAAGTGGAGCGAAATATTTTGGCCTTTGAGCTGCAAATGTTGCTATGATCGGAAGATTTTTCGCTATCACTCTTACCCACATATACTGTTTATCATTGTATCTGTGTCATTTTATTTTGTGTAATATTATTAAGGTCAGAGCCATATTGCATTGTGCTTTCGTTTGCTGTCTTTTTAATAACTAAAAATCGATTAATAGGATGTGAAAAAAAAGAGGAAAACAAATCCTATGAGATATAAACAACAATATAGAATTGATTTGAATAAAAGAATCAAACAAATATAAGATGACTGCTGAAAAAGGAATAAGCGCAATCAACAACTGACATACATTGATAAATCGATCAACTTTTAAAGTAAAGTCGATCATGGCTATCAATCTTATATTTGTCTCAATCATGTCCAGTATTCGAATCATATTGGCGCTATGTATATGGCTTTCAAAATATTTTGTCTTACTTCTCGAATCATTCCAATGAGCTACTCATCGCATTCATGTAATTAGAGCTTGAATATTCGTAGTAATTTGAATGACGCGTTGCTGTTGATTTTAGGTTTTTTTGCTGTATCCTATTTGCTTGTTTTTTTCTTCGACTAATTTGTTTGTTACTTTTGTATCAAGACAACATTTTATATTGCTTATCTGTCTTCTTTCACACTCCAGTTTTTTTTTCGTTTTATTTTTTATTGTCATCAACTACCATCTCTACTTAGAGGGACCACATGCAGCAACAATAAAACATGCAACATGAAAGGCAGACGACGAAAGATAACAAAATAAGAAAAAAAAACTCACATTTGTGGAAGGCAATAAATTGCAATTGGACCGCACACATCAATATTCATTTGTGTAAGATGTGAGATAGTGGACATCGTTCAAAAATTGACAATGAAAAACATATTCAGACCGATCAGTCATTACCAATTGTGAAAAATCCAGACCGATCACATGTCTGACCCATGGACAGCCATGGTTGGAATATTTTTATGAAACAAGCATGCACTGGACTGGATCAAAGGTCGATAGCCCATGAGTTGTCTTGTTTCGTCTCGGTCCAGTCCATTGAGATCAACAGTTGGAAAGTGGTGCTTTCTTTCATGGATTATACTTCTCCGCCATTGGTTTTTCTTTTGTTTAACTATTTTTGGGTTATGAACGTTTTGACGAAAATGAGATAATATAGTTAGACACTAAACTTTTTCGGTGTTAATAAAGGAATCATTATTTTTAGGACAGAGTCACTTCCACGTAAAATATCCAAAAAGTGACTATTATTTCTAGATTTTGATTCTCTAAAATTGATTTTTATTGAAAACAAGTGTGATTTTCGGAATCAGCATGGAAAAAAGACACTGGTAGCTCTATTTTTTATTAGAGAAGGCTCCCAGTCAATTTTTACTCTTTAGGAAGCCATCGCCAAAAATTTTTCGAATTAAAAGTTGAGGGGAAGTAGAACGAAAATTTTAATCAGAAATATTTTTCGATGAAATACAGAGTTTTTGATGTATTCTTTCCGTGCTGATTGCGAAAATCATGTTTATTTCTAATGAAAACGAACTTTTGATAAGCAAAATCTAGAAATATTAGTCGTTTTTGTGGTGTGTGATGTGGAAATGACCCTGTTCTAAAAACAGTAATTTTTTTACTAACACTGAAAAGTACAAAGTTTGCGTCGAATGTTTTGATATCATAACATCATCTCCGATAGAAAAAATAGTGAAACAAAAAAGTTTTCTATGAGTATATGTATCATTTGCTTTAGTCATACTTTGTGAATTCTTGATCACCACATAGACGTCCCCTCTTCAGAAGTTCGAACCATAGTTATAGATGTCATCATTTCTCGGTTTTCTTTATTATTTTGATAGACCATGTGAAGCTATACTAATGATGAAAGCTTCACTTTTTAACAATGAATCAAAATCGTTCAATGTTCGGTAGCAAATTCGTTTTAGGTGTTTCGGTATTTTCAGATGTTTTCTAATCATGTTTATATAATTTACTTGGTAGTTTCCGAAGAAAAGCGAGAAATTTCCTGCTAGAAGCGATATGTATCAATTTAACTGAAAGAAAACATGGCGAAGGAAAAAATAGCGAAAAAAAAACTATCGAAAATGTTCCAGACGTCATTAAGTGACTCTGTTAAGTGTAGGATGCGTGTGTGAGTGTGGATGTGGGGATAGGTATGAAGAGAAGACTGGTATCTACATGCATAACCAATATCGATACCAGACACCCAAACTAGTGGCGGAGCCAGAACATTAGCAGTCCTCTTGTTTTGGATGAGCAGCCACAGCTGGCGGCCTCTCTAAGTGCGTCGTGTTATCGAGAATACACAGTGCTAATAAAGTAGCTGTACTTTCTACTAGCCTTTTCAGAATAAGAAAGGAGGTGCGGTTGTAGTTTCGCCGTTAACTACTCTACTGATAATTTGTATTCTGGATAATACAACACATGCAGCGACGGCACCATCTACCACTCCCCATCCACAATAAGAGAGGCGTTTATGTTCTTACTCCTCCGCTAACCCATACTCATCCACATAAAGAAATGTATTGTCTTATTGTTAATTTTGTTCTTGAATATTTTTCATACATTATTACCTACTGTTGATGTACTCATACGTCTCTCGTTTTTTTGTATGTAATAAAATCTCTTCATCTTGTTAGTCGAGAATCTCGAAAGAAAATTTTTTTCACATTTTTTTTTTTCTTACGACCAAATTAATGCCATTTCTAGGAGAGTGGTAATTGTCGAAGTCATCTGAAAATAGCTTCATAGTGACTAAGTAATGTCATAATTCACTCCGAAATTACGTAATTACTATTGCAGAAAGTTTCGTAATTTCTGATTAATTTACTTTTGCTTCATGATAGATTATGGTAAATACTGTCAGATTTTGTAACTTACTAATAAATCTCCATATCTTTTTCTTCGACAGATTATTTCACTGTGTCGAAGATTTACTTTTTTTCCAAATCAAAACGTACCACTTTTTATTTTAGTATCGTTTTCATTTGAAACATTCTCTAGAGGGAGAGTTGGTGACATGCATTTTTCTTACAAAACTTTTCAAAACAAAAAGAACTTTTATATCGGTTTTTTTTGCTCATTCATTTTTTGGTTTCGTCTAATGTGATTGAAATAAAATTGATGTACAGTGAGTGTATCACAATGCTTCTGATTAGAAAGCGAAGGACACGTTAAATCACCAATGCTTAGTATCTGTGTTCGTACTTTGAAGTGTTAAATTTCAGTATTTCGTCACTAAAAATGATTGAGTACAGTTAACATATATATTTGCAATATTTTTTCTCTTATTGTAAACATAAATAATCTATTCATTACAACGAAGTCAAATATTCATTACCAAACCTAGTTTCACGCAAATGTTTCTAATCAAAAACTTGTTACGCTCGTGATAATTTAACCATTGAAAAATATGCGTCAACATAACTTAATTATTTGTCTCTTTCACTTACAGAGAGAAAGACATACCAATGTATCAAAAAGGAGTAAACATGTCTCTTGTTTCGTATCATAAAATAATGAATCAATCTAGTATGCTTTTTGATTGGCACACATGATAAAGTGAATGAAAAGAACAGTACACGAAGAAAAAAATGAATAAAAAATACCACATTCTTTTTTTGTTCGACCAGTCAACAGCGTCTTCTCTAATGAATAACTTCATTTGAGTACTCGTTCTTTAATTAATTTCAACTATAAGAAAAAATAAATGATAAAACAAAGTCAGTCACTTTCTTATTAAACCATTTTTTTGACAATCTGTCTCATCGATTTGGCATTCAATAAATCAATAATATTTATACAACGATAGGTATCATTACAATGAATAATTCAACCATTATAGCTCTTCCGTTTCACACATTCGAAAATTACATATTCAATGCATCGTCCTTCTGAGGCTTTTTTAACGATCGATCAATCAAACATATAAGTAATAAAATAATAGTTCGCCAAATTGGTAATGAACCTATATATTTACTCTTATTGCCATCAAGTCGAATTATGTGAGAAAGAAAAACTTTTATTTTGTCTGATATTCACTATAATTGAGCTAATGTGTAACTTCACTTATAACAAATCTTAGTATTGGTTTGTATTTAATAGCCTCATTAATTTGAAGGTTTCCAACTAAATTTTTTCATTTGTCATGTAGATACAGAAAGGATCCTTCCACTATATTTTGAATCTAACATTTGACATCTCCATGTATGATGAAACTAATATTTAATTACTTACATAGATTCAACTTTTATTGAGAATTTTGATACAAAAATATCAAGATTCTATATCTATATATTTTTTAATAGCTTTATAGAAAAATTCGACAACGATTTTAATTCAAATTTGTGACGAACATAATCATGCTTGGAAAACAAGCTTTATGTATTGGTATTAACGCCTATGTACCACGACATTTGATCTTAGAACCTTGTCTCAATGATGCAGGCGATGTAACTCAGGCATTACGTTCACTTGGATTTCAGGCACATTTTGTCAAAGATCTTAACTATAAATCAATGAAAATCCTAACTCATCAATTTGTTAATTCCATTCAACCGGGTGCTATTGTTGTGTTCTATTTCTCTGGTCATGGTTGTCAATTTAATGGTAATAATTATTTAATTCCAACGAATGCTACCGGAATTTGGGCAGGTAATGTTGACTCGACTGCAATCGATGCACACAAACTCATTAGTTCGATGCATAAAAGACGTCCAAAAGTTGTAATATGTATTCTTGATTGTTGTCGAACGGATGCACCGTCAGAGCCAGTTGATGAAATGAATCCATTTAGTAGAACTTTAGTTGGAATGAAAGCAGGTCTTGCACCAATGCAAGCCTCACCATCAACAATCATTGTTTATGCTTGTGCAGCAAATGCTTTAGCTTCAGCTATTTCAATGAATAATCGAAATAGTTTATATACTTATCATTTACTTCGTTATATCAGAACACCAAATATTGATATTGAAACTCTTTTGAAATATGCTGGTGTAGACGTTAAAAAAGAATCCAAAAGTCAACAAATACCCTATCTATATAGTAGTTGTAAGGAAGCAATCTATCTTGCAGCGCCCAACAATTACAAGGCAGTGGTATCAGCTCAACATATCCATAGAAGATCTGTTGTTCGTAAGTCACTTTCTATAAATACATTATAGATATACTCATTTTGAACACACATTTAGAACCATTATATAGGAAACAAGCAAAATTATTTCCTGTTATATATCCACAATCGCAATTCAAACACTTCTACAAGCAGTTGAATAACAAACATGGTGTTCAACACTTACAACCGCAACTCAAATATTTCTACAAGCAGTTGAATAACAAACATGGTATTCAACACTTACAACCGCAACTCAAATATTTCTATAATCAGTTGAATGGTCGATATGGCATGCAAAGAAACTATTATTTAGTTGATAGAAATCCATCAATACCCAAGACAAAAGTTCCTTGGCAGCCTGGTCTTCTGCTTCCTCGACTTTTTTGATATTATTAATGATAAGAGCTTGTTGAGGAAAACAAAAACAGATCTTCAGCTGAGTATACTATCATTCAATACACATGTATTGTCTAAAATAAACTAAACTCTATCTAAATTGATTTATTAAACTAAACTAGACTAATTTGTAACCAATTATTCAATTTTATACAATTAACAATACGATAAACTTTTATCAACACATTATTTCGTGAAAGGATAAACATACCAACAATATGATTAGAGATTAATGTCATATTTTTATAATACAACTTTACCGAATTGTACCAAAGAGTATTATTAAATGCTAACAAAAGTATCATTAGTATATAGTTAGTCCTTAAATCTCACTATTGTTAGTAGAATTTGATGGTTCGAAAAAAAACTGGTACCGACTTCTTTAAATTTCTTGAAGCAGGAACCATTGAAAAAACACTATGGAACTGTTAAATTATCAGATATGTAGAAAAATTCTTAAACCAATATCGAGAAATCTTCATTTTTCATTCTTGAGATTAAAGATTTCGATACATATGTATAATATTATTTTGTTTAAGTATTGAGATATGTGAGGTCTTTAATCTCAACAATTCAATACGGAAAATTTCTCAAAATATATTGAAAATTTTCGTATCTATCTGATAACTTAGCAGTTTCAGTTTCATGTAATATTTTAGGAATTAAACCGGAACCAATTTTTTTCATTTAGTGTAGTCAGGATATGTACTAACCTGTTAAGAACTGATTTTTAAATATTATTTTATTCACATAATCAATTCCTTCTTAAGAGTGAGTTAACAACAAATCTCAAACGCATAATTGGAAATAATATAGTGATTCATATATAATTCATATCGAATTGATTATCTAATACATTTATGTTAGGGTCCAATATCAGATTCTGTTCAATCTCGAATTAGAGACTAAGTAAATTGCATTCTCCATGGAGATTTTGATTAAGTTCAAAGAATGCATTGAATAAAAACTGAAATAGAAAAATGTGGATGAAATTGAATCCATGGTTATACTAAAACAAGCTTCGAAAAAGTAAAAAAAAAGTTGATTTATATCTCGATTGTGGGTGTAGGAGTGACGTGAAGAGCACAAGTACATCCACAGCCACAGGCACATTCTTTCTTGATTTTTTTTGTGTTATTTGCTTACGATCAGATGTTGTATTTTGTTGAAAATAAAGCTTCATGTGCCACAGTCAACTTTTGCTTCAATGTAATATGTTAGTGGTTTCAAGGTTGATCGTATTAACATTTCAATCCGACATTGATCTAGGATAATCTATGATTCGCGTACAATTTTCAGACGAAACTTAAATTCGATACTAACATATACAATGATATTTATAATGAACCGCGTATAAAGATGTACGAATTCAATTTTTTGTGACCGCCGACTCTATTTCTGTTTTAAGGAAACTCTTTTGCTTTAGTTCTTTCTATAAAACTATTATTCGTTCGTAATGTCTCATAACTAATGTCCACGCCAGAATCAAAATCGAGCGGACGTAAGCTCAATAACTCGACAACGATAACAGCTATCGACTTAAATGTTTTCAGCAATCGGAAGAACAAAACTCTGGACGTCTTTGTATTTGATACTATGTAAGAGAAAATTATTTTAAAACTTATTGCCTTCGCAAAACATATTAAAAAAATACATGAAAACGATGTTCCGTTTCGATATAATTTTGATTTTGACATATGCTTCAGATCTTATATTTCAAGTTCTGTTGATTTTTTGAAAATTTTTTGACTTTTCATCAAAATTTCCTTGAAATTGGACACCATTGAATGTTTTTCGAAGATAATGGGTTTTAAAATAATTTTCTCTTGCATAGTCTCAGATAAAAAGATGTTCGAAGTTCTACACTTTCGATTGCCGAAAATCGCCGGTCGATAGCTGTTGCCGGTGTTGAGTTATTGAGCTTACATCCATCCTTCTTTAATTCTAGCTCGAACATTCGAATAAATTGAGATACATCTATAGAATAACAAACCATTCGATTTTATTCTGATTTCTCAAAGCTGTACAACTTAACTGTTGTTGGTATTAGGAAAAAACTCACTTGCCATTTCAAATAGTAGCTTGGCATAAAGCTATATTCTTCAATTAGATATTAACCGATAGAATATGAAGTATTCTTTTAACATATAAATATTAGATGACTACAAACCATGATAATAAGTTTACAAACCATCTATATTTTTGATGAAATTCCCTAACGAACAGTATTTTTTATATTTTTTGTTCAATGCTATTGAAATGTTAAACTCGGAGCTTCTCTATAAAAAAATTTCCTTCCGTTTTCTCACTTTTTTCTTTTCGCTACATCCCTGCGATAATCACAATCTTTTTTGTTTTTTCATTATCTTGAATTGACCGTCAACGAGCGACAATAGAAATCAGTAAACGATAGATGACGTTGTATTCATGATTCCATACTTAACATAAGTCCTATCGTCACTTGTTTGTTTGTATTTGTTTACCTGCTTCTGTTTCTTGTCATCAATTAATTGCTGATTAAAACGTATTTATTGAACAACTAATCAAAAAAATATGTTGTTCTTTATAACCTCCTTTCTGGATTTGTATTTTGTTGATGTTATTCTTACGTAATTTTTCCTTGTCATTTTCATAAATAAATACTCTGTTTTTTCTTATTTTTACATCATTTTTTTCTTAGTTATTCTAGAAATACAAAACGATTTATTGATATAAAATGGGTATTCTTAAAAATTTCGAAAATGATGGAATTGAAAATGAACATATCAATTCTATTTCAAATATTGATCCATTGATAAATACAAATAATTTCAAGTAAATAATTTTGCCTATTAATAAGATAGATAATCTGACACCTTTTTTTTCCTCTTTTATTTTGTTAGTGATTCAACAGCATCAAGTGAGGATGAAGAAACACACGAAAATATAGTTGTATCAGCTCCACCAACTAATTCGACTGTTCCACTTACATCTAATCGAACACCTAAGATAAAAAAATCTATGTCGAAAATGCCAAAACCAACATTACAAGTAAAAAATATTGGTGGTAAGAAATCTCAAGGGAATCGACATGCAAGACGACATGAAAATAGTCTGTCTATTATTTCAAAAAAAAAAATTTTTAATTGAATAATCATTATTAACTTTAGTGTGTTTTTTACTTAATCTTGCAAAAGATTTAGATGAAGACTTTGCTGAAGTGAATATAAATGATCTTGTTGACACAACTATTTCAGCATTTGCACAACTTTTATTAAGTAAAAATAAAATGAAGGTAAAACATATTATTTTAGATAGACAATATTTATTATTATCATTATTTTTTACCCATTATAGTTTATCTTTCCCTTACCTAGAGGTTCTCTCTAATCAAGGGTTTTGTTCTTTTAAAAAAAAAATTTGATGAGAAAACACAGCAGCTCATTTTATTGAGCATTCGCCTCTGGATAGAACAAAAATAAATCTGTTGAATCATGGAAATCCATGCGGATTAACTTCTTTCAAAAAAAAAAATATGCACACAAAACGAAAGGAGTTATGCTGTTTTATTGTTTTCTTTTTTCAGTTAGTGTAAGTAGAATGGCTCATCGATAAAAGTTTTTTTGTTTTTTTGCGAAAAAAAAAATTATTCACTTAATTTATAATTAGAAAATGTCACAAATTTAGTTAATTAATAGTTTCTTTTTCTTAAATATTATTTCATCTATCTATTAATTAGATTTGGAATGAATTTATTGAATTACCTGAAAGTCAACAGGAACATATTGTTAATATAGCAACAAATAAAGAAAAGAAAGGAAAAAAAATTCGTCATGAAAAAAATAAACAAAGATTTAATAATGGTACAACATCAATCAGTTGTAGTAGTGATGAGAATTTCGAAACATTTGTTCTTATTGAAAATCATACAACAATAAATAATCATGAATCTATTGATCCATTACGTCGACAAGGTATTTTAATATATGGATGACTGGAAAGTTTTTAGACAAGATGTTTGTTCATTTTGGCTTTCTTGAAAGCATTTCAGATAAGCCAAAAACTGTAGGTCGCAACTAAAGTTTGAATATGAGCTTAGAAATGTTGTATCTATTTTTGTTCAAAAGTAGTGGATGACTTTTCAAAAAGACCTGAAAAATTATTTAAAAAAAAGTTTTTGTAGAGTGGACACTTCTCTATAAAATGTAATATTGAATTAACAAGGAAATCCCTTCTTCTGATGTCAATGATTTTTTACCTATAAATACTATTTAGTGTTTTAATAAAGATCTTAAAAGGATTTGAGTTCCTATTGAAATTTGACTAAGGTATCGAATTTTGATCTGAAACTTTATGCATATAGAGAATTCAACTAGACTAGATTCTATTAAAAAATTTAGAAAATTTCAACAAATTTTCGTCGAAATATGAAACTTTCAAAAAAAATGCATGTGGTATACACTATTCATGGAAAAGGGTGTATATTTTGAAAGTTTCATATCACGAAGAGACATTGTTCAAGACTTTTGAATTTTTTAAGAAAGTTGATCTACTTGAGCTCTTTAATATGCACAAAGTTGCAGACGAAATTTGATAGCTTAGTCAAATATCAATACGAACCAAAATCGTTTTGAAGTTTTTATTAGAACATCATGTATAACCTATGGGCAAAAAATCATTGAAATCAGAAGAAGACAGCTAAAGAGGTTCTTTTATAAGTTGCGGTTTTTACCCAATTAAGGCTATAGGCATTTCTTTTCAAGAGCTGCTCTCAATGTAAAACGATTGTCGATTTTTCAAGTATGCGTATCTATATAAAGAGGGAAATGGAAGTGTCTTGTCGAACGACAAAAAATGACCTTGAAAAGTACATTTTGCATAGTACATTCTTATCTACAAGTTGAGATATAAATAAATAGCCCAGGCTTTGGTTTCAAAGTACAATAGTGAAAAATACAAAATTTATTTTTAGGCTTTTCAAAGATTATTTCACTATTCATGAACAAAAAGTTGAGACAAAAGTTCTAATTCTTTATTCAAAAATATTACAAAATTCTGGTTCTTGATTCATAATATCTGATATTTTCTAGCAGGTCAAAAGCATAGGCAGTGCACCAGCACTACAAGAGGCACTAATTGTTTCTTCAAATTGTTCATGCTTTTTATGTATACTGGAGTAAAACCAGATAATTCAACATAAGTAAATTTAATACGCTTTTGTAGTTAATAGAGACGGGTTGATCCAGTCTTATGAATTTGTTTATTGCTATCTTGATGAATGTACTTTCTAAAATACATATTCGACATGTGATTAGTTAAGTAATATATAATCAACATTTTAATTATTTTGGACTCTCTCCTTACATAATCTGCAATGCCTAAAGTTTTCTGCTGGATCAGGATCGATAGTATAACTGGAAATTGTCTTCCATCTCTCTAAGACTGACTAAATGAAGCGTGACTACTTTGATCAAAAGTATTGAAGTCTGATAAACCAATATTTAATGAGTAAAATTTAATAGTTGATCTTTGCTGTTTGTTACAAATAAAAATGGGCGGAGCATTAGTCATTCGTTATTTGCTCCTATTTTCTTTTTAAAATTTTATATCTAAATGTTTTAAAAGAAAAATAAATTTAACTATTATTTTACAACTAGAGAGAAGATCAACTAGCTGTTAACATTCAATAGTTAAACTATCTGAGGAATAGCACCTTCATCTTTCCAGTTGATCGTTATACCTATAATGTTTTCAAGAAAAGAGTAATTGTTTAAAGTTCAAACAACTTTTACATGAATATCCAAACAAGAATGCAACAGTTAGTGAACAAAAGATAATGATGAAAAAATTTGAGTTTCCCTTAAATTGTTTTAAGCAAGTCTCCTTCTTAATATAAAGTTTTATACTAATTTGAAGCGCGTAATGTAAGGTCAAACGAACTAATACTCAAGCTTCCACATATTATAGGCTTCAGAAATATTAAATTCAAACGATTAGGTTTTTGCTGCTGGACTGTTCATTATTGAAGGGAGGGGGGAAGAAGGGAGGACAAAATAGACATTAAAAAGTTAATTGCTTCCTCTACAAAATTGAGCCTACATCGCTCATGGCCAAAAGTGAATAAACATCTTGTCTAAAAACTTTCCAATCATCAAATCTTCTTTAATCGATACGAAAATTTTGTTTTTTTTTAAAGAAGAAGCTGATACATGTTTTCGTCGTATTGATCCAAATATTCGTTATACATTAAAAAGTATGCTCAAACGACGTCATGTACCATTAGTAAATATTTTAATTTGTATGCTTATAAGAAGAGGAAAAAAAATACTGAATATATTTAGGATCGTATAAGTTGTTTTGAAGATGATATAATACCATTTTTTAAAGAACATCCTGATTCAGTTTATTTACGAGATTTAAATAATGGTTTTGATCGTATGTTACTTCATGCTGTTTGTCAATATTTAAATTTGATTTCAAAAAGTAAAAATCAATATTTGTATTAATTATATATAAAAGATAATTTGATTTGCTTTTCTTCTTTTTGAAAGGTTTTACACAAGATGGTGAAAGATATATTCAAGTTGAAAATCGTTATATTACATTCGTTCCGCCGATAACACTTCTTTCGGAATATGTTAAATTACTTTGCTGGAACGATGAAAAATGATTTGTAAATTTTTTTTTTCTGTGTGTGTTTGAATATTTTAGTTCTCCATAGAAAAGCCTTGTTTTGTTTCTTCTTTCTTGTCTATTGTGTATCTATAATATCCTTCTTACTCTAAATCTTAGCTTTTCAGAAGACAAAAAAAAAACAAAGATTATATTGATGTATTTTGAAGCGTTACATTGATCTTTATTTCATTTATAGATGAATGCACCAGCAACTTTTGAATCATTTTTATTATTAGATGGTGAAAAGAAAATAGTTGTTGAAAAAGATACAAAAGTACCGAATGCGGTTGTATTTACAATTAGTAAAGAAGATCATACATTAGCAAATATGCTTCGTGCACAATTATTAAAAGATCCTGAAGTTATATTTGCTGGTTATAGAATTCCACATCCACTTGAACATAAAGTTATTTTACGTGTACAAACAGCTGGACATGAATATTCACCAATAAATGCTATGGAAAATGCAATAAAAGATTTAATTTTTGAAATGGACATGTTAGAAGATAGAGTTAAACAAGCGATTGCTAATCGACAAAATGCTGAATGATAATCTCTTTTTTTTTCTTTTTTTTGTATTACATGTTTTCATATGAAATAAAAATTTTGTGTCTGTTATTGTTTATTTCAGATAGGATAATTGTTTTAGATTGATCGGAATAATATGTTCGATCAATTAATTTAAGTAAGTGTTAATAAGAAAATTTCGGGAATTTTGTTTTTATTGAATAAAGAGTTTTAGTTGATGGAATGCAATATAAAAGAAACAAATGTTCAATATAGAATTCTGATAATACTGACGTTAGACTGCATTGTATGAAGACAAAATACAGGTACGTAATATTGAACTTGATAGTTTCCATAATATATTCTCTTGTAAACATTAGGGCGTACCCAGAGAAAAGTTGTAGGAGATGTTCAGCCCCCTGACATATTTGTAAAATGGGTGGAGATCATTCGACAACACTTCTAAGAGGAGCTCCAGCCTCATTTTGAAGCGGAACTCAACTGTTGGTGGAGGGACTGATCTCCTCAAATTTCCGTCTGGTTACGCTAAAAGTGGAATCGATTATTAGAATTAAAACTAATGTTACTTTGTCATATAAGCATCAATTTTATTTTTTTTTCTGTAGAAAATCAATGAATTGTCAAAACTGTGAACAGTATCGTGTAAGAATATATTTATGTTTATATATATATATATATATTAATTGAAATATTTTATTATAGATATTTAATAATGATATGCTTTTATTTGAAAATGCAACATCAGCAAGAACAAGTTTAAATACAATATCAAATTATGCTAAAAATATACTTGATAAACTTTCTTTAATGCGTGATAAAGTTGAATTATGTGATTTTCGTATTAATATTAATAATAAACAATTTTTATGTCATAAATTTTTATTAATAGCAACATCAGATTATTTTAAAGCAATGTTTAATGGTTTGTACTGAATTTTATTCATTATTTTTGTGTTTTTTTTTAAGAATTAATTTTTTTAATATAAAAAAAAAGGTAATATGAATGAAAGTCGATCAGATTATGTTGAATTAAAAGGTTTTGAAAATTCATCACATGGTGTCGAATCAATGATTAATTTTTGTTATTCGGGTTTACTTCAAATAACATTTGATAATATTGATCAATTATTACATGCTGCAACACATTTACAAATAAAACATGCTATTGATTTATGTTCACAATTTCTTATTGAATCATGTTCATTAAATAATTGTATTGATATATATAAAATAGCTGATTTTTATTCATTAACAAATGTCTTAGATATAGTACATTTATTTATATCAAAAAATTTTCTTTCACTTATGTTTCATGCACGTGAACAATTTGAACAATTAACATATGAACAAATATATCAAGAATTATCATCTGATACATTAGAAATGAATACATATAATGAATATGATTTATTTATAATGACATGTACATGGATTGAAGCAAATCGTATTGAAAGAGAAAAATATGCTATTGATTTATTTAAACTTATCCGTTTTATGTTAATGACACCTGAACAATTATGTGATCATGTACGTAAACATGAACTTATTAATATAAATGAACAATCAAGAAAATTAGTTGAAGATGCACTATGTTATTATGCTTCACCTAATCGACAACCTTCATTAAACGATATACAATGTCAGATAAGAAATGAGCCAGTCTTAGTTGCTGTTGGAGAAATTGAATTATTTACATTGAATACAACATTAGATAGATGGGAAACACTTTGTCAAGCACCATTAGAAGAAAATTATCCGGTATGAATAATTTATTCAAATATATTAATTATTAAAATATAGATCTATATAGATCATGACTAGAAACAGAAGCATTAAAGAATAAACTAACTTAAGAAGATATTTTGAGTGAAAAATAAAAGTAATAATCGTGTCATGTAGATTACATGTTTGTAAATGGTTAATTGAATGTTGTATGTCCATTGGATATTATCTCATAAACAGAGTCATGATAACAAAATGCTATACATATTTATTATGAATAAATCAATGTCTTGTCTTTCTATTTTTGTTTGACGCTCTGTTGGCAAATGCAAAGAGCGGTCCATTTCTCATGGATGTCAGCGTCTAATGTCACACTTTAATCATTCTCAAATTTACGATCTTTTAGTAATTACGATATTACTTTTTTTACACCTTTGCATGATAAATAAAAAGTTTAATTGTAAAATTTTCATCAAATAATCAAAATCATTTATAGGAGTCTTGAACTAAACTACGTTATATAAATCAACCGTTATAAAGGAAAATATTATCGTTCGATTTCGAGATTGCTAATGAAAGATTTTAAATTTAATAATGATTCTAGAATGAAAATTGAATATGAACATCTGAAAATATTCATTTAGGAAGGATAATACAAAAGGATTCACAGACATTGAAGAATATTTACTGATTATTTATAAATACAAAGTGTGTTCACCACAAAATTTATTCGTTAAACCACTATTTTATTATCATGAGAATTGCTGTAAAAAATTTCATGAAAAATATTCTTCCACATATCTCGTGTTATGATCAAAAAACATAATAACAGTCTAATTTTAGAATATAGATCATACAAAATATCATAATCTTCTATGATTGATAGATATTTTTTTTTTATCTGTCGTCTCACAATAATTAATAATCGAAATTATTT